CCCTCAGAATTGTGCGAAAATACAAGTTCAGTAACATATGAACGAATGAGCAACCCTCTTCACACTATATTTATGATACACTCGGTGATTAAACCTTAACGGCGCACCATTTCTTCCAGCAATCGCCTTTCCATTTTGCATCCTACACTTATTGTTTTGTCTATCTCAAGCAGCTCGGATGAACTATGTAGGTGGCAACCACAGACACTGAATTAGACTTCTGCTTTTACCTCACGTTTTTAATATACCGATAATCGATAATCATTTTGTTAATCTGCTAAATGTCTCTAGACTACATCAATGACTTGAGACCATTTGGTCTTCGTCTGTTCACTTCTGTGGTCACACTCTGTGCTTCAATCGGATTTCCATTGGTTGCCACGTATTGCAGAGATCAAGCAGTATCAATAGCAAATCCTTGTGTCTCAATTTTCAGTTGATCCATGAATTAACACGTGACATACCGGTCGACCGCATCATGATAGCTTCAACGTTCAATCGGATATCAACTTCTTTGAGAATGTGTGGAACGTAATGGTGAGGCACAAATTTGCGCAGTACACAGTAGAGGAAGTTCTATAGGATTCGGGTAAACATTACATCGAGAAACCGCTTTCCAGGGGTAAAGGCTTGAGGAAACGAAAAGAACGATAAATTAACTCAGCACACTGGGTATTTCAGTGTCTTATTTATTGGAGGAAAAAGTTGACTACCTGGTATGCATCCCGAGATATTTGTAATATGTATGGATATACACACAACTAAAATATTGGATAACTGTGAAATCTAGTGGCTGAAATCGTAAGTCACGCGCACAGGCACTCGGTCTACAAGCACTATATGAAACGCAAATATAACTCAAATCGCCTCAATTTTTCAGCTGTTTGATTTTGCTACCATCTGTTGTGCAGTCACTGTTGATAACTTAGGTTCACTTAAGTGGGGTCCTCGGCGTTTTTAGCATGAATTTCCCGAAAAGTGTTGCACTGATTGCACGACACTTATGTGATTAATTTATTCTCATAGTGTATCCACAATTGACGAGGATTCGGGTTTGTGCTTTTCCTTCCTTTTCTGATGAACAAGCGTTTGACTGAGGCAAGTGTTTTTGAATGAGTGTTATCTTTTCCCTTCCTTTTCCGGATCCTTGTCAATACGGATATCTGTTTTTTGTGTAGTTGATTTGTAAGTATGTTGCAATGCGATATTTTCTGTCGGTTTTGATCAATTGATTTGAGATGAATTCATTTCATCTGGACTCAAGAGATTGCTTCATTTCTTACACTTGTTTCAATTCGATCCCATTTATTCGTTTTCGTCAGTTTGTGTCTTGCAGAGAAGGGGTGTACTATGAAAATGGGATGCATATACTCACCTGAGAGCTTCGTTGGGGAATTGCGTTGTTACAGAATACTCTCAGGTTACCTTCCACAGCCGTCAGGTGACGGAATTGTTATGTTACTACTTGCTATCAATGGTATCTCTTTGGGATTACTCATGCCCAAGTATTCGACTCGTATTCTTCTCACGTTCACACGTTGCTGTGTCATGTGATTGTTCGAGGTGGATTAGCCGTGACTGATGACAAATTACACGGTGTGGCTTCTTCCCTCGTGTTCCATCCGTTGGACCCTAAGGCTGACGAGGTTTCTAATGCTGATTGATATCGATAATTCCACAGTTGTCCCCTCCAAATTTGTGCTGTTCAATCACTTCGTATTTCCGCTGTTGTACTTCCATTCCGCACCCACTTTCCTATTTTTCGCACTTGAGATCATTCTAAACTGTCGTTGTGATGCTAGTTCTTGTATTTCTTGCATTAAATAGGAAGAGATGACTTTTCCATAACTCAGCAAGCAGCAGACTTGTGAACAGTGTTCTTTTTGGTAAGGTGAATTACTGATGAGATCATCTGAAATGAAAAACGCGATTCCTTGCTTTGATCCTTGAGCTGAACAACTCGTCTAAAGGCTACCCAGAAAGTGTCCTTGAGGAAAAGTTGTTGGCTCAAAGTTCAAGCTGGTCTTTCTGTTCTTTCAGTGATTTGTTGGCGAAAGACACGGAAATCTAATTCGATTTTGTGACTAGTCTAAACTGCTGCGCGATTTAGACTACAAAGGTAATCGTAACACTAGTATATTTCATCTAGTTTGTTTGGGACCCTTGGAATCTACTGGATTTTATTTCCGTTTCGGGAACACCTAATTTGGCAGATCGGGTCGCGTGGTTCTGCACGGACCACAGGAAATCCTTAGAGATAGTGCGGTGGATCTCTGTATGTCGAAGGTTCAATCGTCACACAACACCTTCAATTGACAGAAACTTTCTGCAAACAGTCCATTAGATTTATGTCAAGGAAAACTAACCACCTGGGGGCTGTTTGGTGCCTATACGGTTTTGTCATTTCAGGAAGCTCGGTTCATGTGAATTATTTCACACTTTTTTCTATGGTTGTGGCTGTAAAACGCCGGTGAATGTGGAGAAAAATGTTTGACGCGTTTTTCCATTCATTTATGGATCAAATTAATGGTGTACTTTTCACGATTACGTGATTCATCACGTTGTCAAGACTGCCTTCTAGTGAAATTGTTTTGTGAACTTCAGAAGCGTTCAGCAAACTGCACGGGTGATTTGAGTTCTGGTCTCTTTTAGTGTGGTAATCTTTGATTTGTTCATTGAGCTAAGCAGCTGATTGTAAACTTTTGATCACCTGATGAAGGTAGTGAGCATTTATAGGGTATCCGCCCACGATTGGTCGCATCTTATGAGCTGTGGTTTTATTCGGCAACTTTGCTTGTTTGGTGATTGGTGACTTTTCCAGATTCCGCGCTGTGATTTTTGCTGGCGTTTATCTTGTTTTTATTTCATTTTGGTTTATTTCAGTTAAGTTTATCAGCCATAAGGGATAAACGAAGGATGAGTTTGTTCGAACTGTTACTGTTCACCGAAGAATGTGGACACGGGAGTGACGTATCCAGGTGCTAAAGATGCTGACGTAATTATCTGGTTGATTTGAAGCATTTTAATTACCCTTTAAGTAGGAAACTGAAAATTAACCGATTGGAGATGATAGCATCAGCGGAGGGGTACCACTGACCGTGTCACTGAACCGTTTCCGCCAGTGTCATTAAGCACTGATGATTTGAGTTTCGGGGTATCCACCCACAGACGGCGTTTTTAAGCTCAACCAGACTAACTGTCTAGTGTCTTCATAATTCCTCGACAAATCATAGCCTGCATGACTGTCGGTCGTTCTCTTCTAGCACAGGGCTAGGCAGAAAGAGCTCTGCAAGACAGGTTGTCCACAGACATGCAAAGTACGCGTCCTAAACGGTGTAAAAAATGGAGCATGAGTAACTCGTCTATCCATTCGTGTCCATTCTTCCCAAAATTGGCGTACCTTAACATTGCTAGCACGGTGTTCTCACCTGAGTTGATGAATGTTTCGGAGACACCGGTGTTCAAATACGTAGAGTTCTCCTATATCATCTGCGAGTAGGGACTCAGTTTGTGATCCAGAAAGCAATGTGCATCGCACCGTCGCACTCCTGACAGACGAAATAACTTGCACGGGGATTAAAACAGCTACCCAGGGAAAATTGGTTGGTCAGCAAGCATAAAGTTCGGATTCGGTTTCATGTGTTCTTGTAAAAGCACATCATACTGCAAGTGTGAAGCGCACACCAGGCGGTTGGCAGAACTATTTGGGTTTTTTAACTACTTAAATCTCTAAAGGATCCGAATCAAAAACAGCAATATCAACTTTCTATTAAATTGCTGTGGGCGAATTCTACAGGAGTATTTCGATCTTCGAGGTGTCAGAGGTGGAATGAGAAGCTTCAAATAGCACGTCAATAACAAATTCGAGGCGAGTTAGTGAGATAGAGTAGATATGTCATACAGTATTGGACATGAATTCGGGTGAAAGCTTGCTGTATATCTGTACGCGGCCACAGAAATTCAGTTGCTGAACCCTCCGGAGGAATACGACTTTAGATACGGCACCTTTGATCGCCAAACACCACCACAGTTTCGATCAACCTGCAGAATCAAGAGGAGCTTTCCACTCATGAAGAACGGCTAGTTTTGGACGTTTGGAAAAGTGGCGCTGTTCAAGAACCCCTCTTTCCCAGGCGGAATGTAGTATCACTATCTCCATGGATGCGGACATGCTGGTCGCCCGAAGAAAACATCTTACTGCATTCACACACCTGTCGTAGGGTACAGTATCAGTTGGTCTCCAGGCCGCCTGGTAATTGGATTTCTCGCAATACGAGGGCTTACTGTTTTTTTCTCCGGGTGCTTGCTGTTGGTCTTCCCGTAACGATTGAGCCTTAAGGATCAGAGACGTGTTCGCTGCATGTGGAAGACTTCTGAATGCTCCCTGTGTTTGGCAGTCGGTGCCTCGGAAGCATTGTGCGGGTCAGGTAGGAATGTCACATCTAATATGCTGAGATGCACCGGATGGTTTTCGGAATGGTTCACTGTACCTCGATAGATCAGCTGATCATATTTTACAGGTTGTGTTATTTAGACCACCTGCTTCGTATGCCAGAAAACCGCTTGCCTCTTGGAGCCCTCTTTGCTCAATCAGATGGAGACAACCAAGACTTGGCAACGAAGTGTGAAAGCCCTTATCATTCAACTAAATCGCGTTTGTAACTGGCGTCCCCCCGAACGATGACTTAGGGTGAGATAAACATGATGAACCTGACTGATATGACCTTATCACGCATCCAACTGCGGTTTTGAATGAAAGCTGTCGCATTCACTACGTAGCTCTCACTTCTCATCATACTGAACGGAAAGATCCACCTATAATCAGTACAAAAAGTGGGTCAACCCCTCAACCGTTTATTCTCCTTATCCTCGGTGAACGAAGCTGTAGGAACCGGGACCACTGCACTACGGCACACGGTGCTTTAGTTGAAAATCTGAACTGAACTAAAAATTCTATTTTGCTCATGACTACTCTATCTAACTTTTGTGGATCCTTTCAGACTCGACGCATGAAACAACATTTGTACTGTTATTCGGAAAAAAATCGGGAATCGCCGACACCTCATAAAAACCGTAACACGCCAACGGGCACGGAAAACCTTACGGTGGACTCTAGACATTGTGTTGCATCCCCACCTTTGCTGATAGATAATTCGCATTCTGGGCATATTTCTGGACGGTCGATTTCTGCGCAGGTCGCCACCAGCGTTGACTATGCTCAGCGTACGCCCGTCCTTGTGAACACGCTTGGTTCTGCAGAGCGACAACTTAAATGTGGTAAATCATCGTCCTGTGTTGACTTTTGATAAATCATTCATTCATCTTTGAACAAGTAATCATGTTTTGGAGCTGCCACATTCTAAGAACTTTTTTTCTGTAGGCCGAATGTTTTGATGGTCTACACTCAGTCTCACGAGCATTACTACGCCGTTGTTAACAACCAGGAGATGCTCTGTTTTTGGGCCTCAGGACTCCCTGGAAGTTTCTTCTTCTTCAAAGAGTTGAGTAACATTTCAAAAAACTAATGAAATCCGTTAATTAAAACTGTTGATCGGGCTGGTGGGTCCAAATCCGAACCAGAAGCACGGCGGATTGCTTTTTCCAGCATTGACTTCATTCTGGTGTCTGCGGCCATTAGCATAATAAATCGGAGATCACTTGTCACACTCATGAGAGGCAATATCTGGTTCGCCGTGACTAGGTAGGACATTCGGAAACCACCTTCTTATGCCGTTTGATAAACTTGATGGCTGGCAACACCAACCTCGAATGTCCATAATATAGCAAAATCTGAGACGTACCCAGTGACTCGAGCTTGACATTGAACGGCGTACGCACAACAATACACGGGACGTAGTACACGGGCAGATCCACTGTGGGTTTTTCAGTTCGGTTCTCTATCATTCAGGTGAAACTTGTAAACCGCGGTTCTGATGGGCAAACTTTATATCCGTTCAGCAGTGGCTTCCTAGTGTTCACGTGACTTTTGATCCGAAACTCTACTTGATTAACGCGCATGGCAACCGGGAAGTTGAGGTAGAATCTTCGATTACTGCTAGGCTGCCACCAAACCTGCCGCAGCACGATAACTTTGATACAATACCCATTGTTAGAGTCATATATTGACTGCTTATGATACGTATCCTTCTTTTTCTCTTTCAGTTTCCTTTCTTGAGACCCAACGGTCATCAGCAGCACAGGCGCATCCTAATCGTTGCCCTGTTCCTACTTCCTCCGTATCCTCATCTCTTCTCTCCAATCGACCATCTTTATCCTTGTCCGCCGTACTGTCTGCCCCGTTGCAGTTAGTCAGAACCTCTCCAAAACCGACCGCTGAACCTGATCTACCCCAATCGACACTCAGTCCGCAAAGTAAACCTACGCCTCCTACCAAGCCCATGGTTCTTCAAACTCCCTCATCTGGAACTGGCAGTGATTCAACGCAAACGAGGGTCGAATTGTCCTTGACTTTTAAGCATATGGGTAACGTTGCGCGCATACCACTCAATCGTTCCCATTCACGCACATCCCCCTATGACCGTTCCCACCGCTCCACATCCCCAGAGCCGTCCGCAGTAACAACCCAAAGTGAGCAGTGTTCCTTACATGTATTCATATTTTAACTTTAAAGGTAAAAATGTGCTTGCGGGCTGATTGTGTCCCTGGGTATGTTTCTTTGATCGCTACGGAAGGTATTTTTAGCTTAGTCGTAAATAAGACTAGTCTTTCAAACCCCTTGGCGTTTTCGGTGTACATTATGTTTGCCTTACATCGTTGACTTGTTTTTCAATAGCACTGACAATAAATGGAGGTGACCTCGTAGGCAATTCTCGCTTTTGTGTGGAACACAAATGCAATAGCTCCGGTCAAAAGTAGCGTATAAACAGGAAAGTCTATCCACAATGACCACTGGTAGGGAGAGTCAAAACGCTCAATTCGGGGGAGTTGACAGTCTAGGCGGTTTTGTAGTGCAACATCTGTTCATGGACCAAAGTGTATTCTCAGAGGACTTCGATTTTAACTTCTATGTGCTCGTTATTGATAATAGGGCCCAAAAACCTTTTGTAGATGTCATTAGAGGAGTGTGATGGTTCCTTCCACAAACGATCTGTGATGGAGTGTGATGGTTCCTTCCACAAACGATCACTGTACCCACCTTACGATGACTTTCTTCTAGGAAATGATCTGTTGAGTGGTAGATTTACGGAGTTTATCTGTACCGTACTTTTATGGTCCTTTTTATCTCTTCGCAGTTCACCGGGTGGATGGGTCAAACCACGGATTAAGATCTTTGCGGCATCTACAGCTGTTGAATTTTTTAAAAACCATTCTACCGCCTGGATCTTGTTCTAGCTTGCTCTGCTATTTTTCTTTCGTTGTTATCATTTATGAAGCATAGGCCATACCAAGCGTATGCTCAACAATTTTGGTATCGTTCCTTGAACTCACACTGACGAAAGTTTTGGACTATGATCACTAGATTCTTAGGCGTTGTCCGTTTATATGAAGTTCTGCAACCCACTCTGGTAGGTGCGAACAACCGGCTAAAGCACCAGTTGACCTACACAGAATCTATAGCACAGTAGACCTCCTAAGAGGTATGGAGCATGAGCTTGTATACGCATCAATGGTGATAGAGAACTTGCTCAGCTGGGTCTGCAGTGCGATTGGGTTCCCAAGTCAGCTATTTTGAAAGACTAACGCTGTCAGTGTTTGATCAAAGCTGCAATATCTAGGTTCAGTGGATCATTTTGACCGGACACTTGGTGCCAGGAGAGAAACAACAGGGTTGTAGGCATCTCCTGTTGATTTTCTAAAGCAGTTTGACAAACTGTGAGCTATCGGAAAAGCTGGACAACTAATCGGACACTTTTTGTCACTTAATGTAATACGAGGCTGTGTTGAACCGATAGCTTCTCCGTTAGCCCCAAGTTTTTACTTACTCTCCGCCCACGAAGTCAAATCCGAAAAAATGTCATTGAATACTACAGAAAGGAGTGAACTTTCAGTGGGCACGCTGCCTTGGTTTTGCTATACCCTTGTATACTATAGGTAAATATAAAGTAAATTGAACTTAGATGGCTTGTCTATTTTCACTTCAACTCCTTGTATGTACTTGCGTCAACTGTGGTGCTTCGTAGGGTCCTTTGTAAAGTTTTTGTGTACTCAATTTATCAGCCCGACAAGCCGTATGAACTCGTTTTATTGTCTCAAAGTTGAATGATTGGATAAAGCCACACTCCCATTATTAGGAACAAATCATTTAGCCTTTCTGCTACTTTTAGTGTCTTTTGTCCATCCGACAAGTCGCCGTCGTTGGTGCGCAGTTTGCATGTGGTTCGCGTCCACTTAATTTAGTGTCTTAGTAAAAGCATCCCAACAGTTTCTGACTGGGAGATCGGCGATCTAAATACACTCAGAATTTTTAGATCTTTAGTCTTTATACTTGCGCACTCTGGCAGTAGTTCACAGCTCCGAATCGAGTGCTAACTGCGCACCTTCATGAAGTCGCCTTTTCAGCCGTCGATTTGCCCAAAACTGTTTCTAGTGACACGATTTTAAAATGTAGCGATTACATTGCAAACTCGGATGCCATCCGGACACAACACTGGCAACCGGCATTCAGCGGCTACTGAAACACTGTTGCCAGACTGCCCTAGAATTTCGACGAATCAAAGTCCGCCTTGATGTTGGACTGGCCAAGGGTCAAATCTGTCGATCAGTCACTTGCGAGTTAAGCTTATTGACCGTTTCAACACCTAATTGCGATCGGTAAGGTGGTATGGGCATAGGATTCTGTGTAACAGGTGGGCACCTGAATGTGGGGAGTTGGAAGCGTTGTCTTGGGACCGCTGAACGATCCGGGATTCCAACGGAATGCTCTGACAAAATTCCTTGAGGTTTCAAACAAAGCACTCCAAAACTCATTTGGTCCCAAAGAGTAGCTGACTCAGCGTTCTCCCACTTCGGTAGACAGAGGCACTAGATTCGAATGAGAGTGAAGTGCTGACCCATGAATGAAACAGTTCAGTGAAGTGAGTGAGAAGCTTGATTACGTTCCACTGACTGAGAGCATAGTATGCAAACGCCATACACCGTGACTATACTGGACTTGCAGTGCTTCGTGTTATCCAAAGACTGTTTTCGCTGCTCAACTGTAAGATATGTTCTGAAAGCATATAAAATGAACCCATTCCTTCTGTGTTACTTAGATATAGCTTTGTGAGGAATAGTTGTATTTTTCTGTGAGGCCTTAAAGATTAGTGTTCTGCTATAAGTGAGCGTTTTAATATCACTGAATTGGTTTCGTTTTCATACAACAGACACGAAACTAATTCCATGTCCACACGAACATGGACAAAATCCATGGATGATATCTGATGTTCTCAGTGGTCCGATGACATAATTCATTGTCAACTACTCTGCGGCTTTCACATGTCCAGTCGACTTTTTGCTCCATAGTTGCCCTGTGAGAGTGATTTTTCGGCTAGAATCGAGTTCAAACCGCAACTTTTTCGGTCAGTAGCTCAGGTTCGGATGGAGCCTGTTCAGCCATAGCATACTTTTATTAGGGTTACGTCTTGTAGTCGTTTGAATGAGTGCGAACATCGCTTTCGTGCCATATTCCTACGCGTTGGTTGTGTGTATAAGCCGGGTCGTTCCGTTATCTACGCCTCTATAAATTTCGATTGGTTGCCGTCTAGATCTCAACCATATTCCTGATAATCCGAAAATGAATACTCCATCACTCTCATTAGGTAGTTTTGGGCAACTTTGTGGTCATTTTTTGTTTCCAGAGGCGCACCACATGTATCTATCAAGGAATGAGGAATAACACGTTCCAACGCAAATTTTCATTCAACTTCCCTGGTTGACGGCCACTGTGCCTTTTTCCGCGAATGCTTTACATTGATCCCATTCTGAACTTTCGTTCTCTGAGTTACGGTGGTAATTTGTGTCTAGGTTCCTGTAAGTAGGTTTCTCACTTAAGCTGTGCGATAACTCGGCCTGGTGCTTTGCCGGCTTGTCAACTACCGATTATTAAATATCGAAAACGGTTGGCTGGACAACTTGTGACTTTGGAGCACAGCATGAGGTAGATTACGATGCAGTCCATTTCCCAAGACGTCTCAGCGTGAGTCTCCATGATGACTGTCAGGGTCTAGCTTCCAATAAAGGTCTGTGGCGTTTTCTCTGTCGATTTCTATCCAAGGAAATAAAAAATCGTTTAACTCTAGCACTTTCCGTGCCTAGCTACCGTGCCGCACGAAGGAGACACGAGGGCAGGGATACTGCCAGGTCGTCCAAGCCTAGACAGGGGAAGTCGAAGGGCAGATGTCGGGTTCGAACCACGGACCTTCCGGTCAGTAAATTCGCGCTCTGACCACTTGGGGCAACTCGCCTCCTCTGTCCAAAGTCATCTCAACTTAAAAGTTCCGACACCTAGAAGTGTTTGTACTGCATTGTAGGGTATGCACATAGCGTTATTTTATTATTCTCACACTAAATTTTTATTTTATTATTTAGTATGTTTTTTGGGTTTGACATACCATATCCCACCACTCGTTAGTATCTCTGACGGTGACGATAATAATATGTTATTCCCATCTTCTTTTGCACAGAAGAACCGAATGGATTGACGGACAACCGAACTAGTGCCTTCCACCTGCCACATCAGCCTAACCGTCCACGGGATCTTGACATTCCTTCTCCTGACTCAGCAAATAAACCTTCCATGCCTTTATCCAGTTCTCCAAGAAATGACCCGTATTCAGAGGATTCTCCAACTAGACGAACACAGTCGCCTGATCTCAGTCTGTGCAGTTTGGCCTCCGATGATTTGATGTTGGATACAGGCCTCCCCTCCCCAGTAGCCACACCCGACAGTGAGCTCGACATCCGGATGAAGAGAGATAAATTTTTTGGATTGCGAGACTCTATGGTTTACAGTCGTTTGGAGTCCGTAACCGAGCTAAGCCATGACGATTTGTCACACCCTGAAGTACCGGAGCTCCGAGAAATGGCTGGTAACAGTAGAGGGCACTGTTCTCCTATACGAGGGCAGAGAGATTTGCAGCAAAAAAAACTGCAGGACCCTGATAGTCCAATTTGTATTTGCCCGTCATCTGCGAATTGTGATTGCAAATCATGTGAAGACTGTTCTTCGTTCCACAATCGTCGGCGGCGTACGACGGTTTCGGTCTCAGGTTCTTTCGGTCGGTTTAGTTTACGGTGAGCTTCTTTCACTGGCAACTTTACTCCACGTCTTAAGTTAACGCAGTTAACTTTCGGAATCACAATATCCTTTGGTCTTCGTATTTCGGTGAATGTCATCAAATCGAGGTAGTACAATTATTAATACATTTCCGATGAGATGAATTGCTATTAGCTACCAGTTTCTGTCTTATTCCATCAATCAGTACCCCTGGGTTATCACTTTATGCTAATTTGCAGGGTGCGTCATGTAATGTTTTTTTTTTGCATGGAACTTCGACTCAAGTAGTCATCAATGATTTCACGCCAAGTACTCGCACCATATGTCTGTTCTTTGGGTTTCCCTTACTAATACCACTGCCAGCTTGCTATTTATCTGTGTAGTGAATCGATAGTACCCTCTGGACAGCTACGGATCAATCTCGGCCCCATTATACATGGGGCGAATAGCCTTAAACTTGCTATTACCGTGTGTAGCCTAATATGAGGAAAAGTTGTTACCGGATGTGGACGGTGGTTAGCCAGAGAGGTTACTGCGACGGATAGTCCATCTGCTTAACTTCATCTTCTCCCAACTTTTATGGGATTTCGTCTTGTGGCTTTCGAAGCAGTAACTAATCACCGTTTACAGTTTCCACTCGCGGTTGTGTAGTCTAGACCACTTCAGTGGGTAAATAACATTTCTGTCATCCAAATTATTTCCCTTTTCAGTCGTCTTCGATCACGTCCACGCTCATTATCTTACTCCCAAGCCGCCGCTAGCCTAGACCCAAGTGGCAACGAAGGTGTGGCAAATTTGGGCGATCGGACCTTTTATCTCTTGGGCACTGACCAACGTCAAATGCTGCAGGAACTCCAAAGTGTGAAAACAACTTTGCTTAGACTTCGACGACTGCTGAGTGAAGTAAGCTGCTCTCCTAAGGCAACATCTGATTTTTCCCTTTGTTTCACTTAATCGGATTTCATGGGTGTAGTTCGAATAGCATAGATTTAATGCAGTGGTACTTCAGCCTTTTACGTTATTGTTTCGCCTTTGTGTTGAGTTATTTTACATACGGATGAGTTTTATGATTTATTTTCCCTTGGTTACTAACTTCGCCAGTTTTTTTAGATATTCCTAATTAACTTCGCACCATGGGAGAAAACGCCCATCGACGGAGGTGCAGAGAGCACACGAATATTACCAGCTTTCTAGGGTAACAATGAATGAGTGACGCAGCTGAGTTAGATTTCCCTAGGGGGGGTGTCATAACGGATTGTGCCTGACTGGGGTAATGTGAGCGTTGTCCGACCATACAGTGGTTTGCAGTGTATACGCATATGGGTCTATCACTATGCTTTTAGGTCCGTGTATTCACCCACAGATTCGGAAGTTTTGGGGAATACAAACTACTATGATATAGTGTGGCAAAACTTCGTTGATATCAATTCTACTCTGAGATGATCACCCAAACAATAACGCGACAATGACTTAAAACGGCACCGATCCATAATCGAATGGAACGATTGTGTGGTGCCTTTACCCTGTTTATTTGTCAATCGCTCTTATTTTCCGAAACGTTAGTGACGTGAGGAACGTAAGAGTGGTCTCAATATACGGACTGTAGGCTCGTGTTTGCTTTATTGCATGCTTGTTTACTGGAAAGAAACTCACTTAAAGCGTTTTTGTCGCAGATGGGAAGAGATGGCTCACTGGTTGGAGTGCGAATTCACTGACCGAAAGGTCTGTGATTGGAACCCGACCTCTGCCTCGAATTGGGCAATCTGGCAGTATCCCGGCCCTCGTGTTTTTTTCAGGTGGAATAACATTCAGGCACTAAAAGAGTGTTTATAGCTGACGATTATTTTTATCTCACAGCTCGCGTACTGTTGAATTACACCTCGGTGGATCGCTGGCGGAAACCTACATTATTATCTGAAGTTATGGGTTGTTTTATTATTGTCTCACGGTGGTACTGTACTGATGGGTAAATGCGTTCCGAGGGAAGCGAACATGTCCCGTCAGCTATTCTGCTTAATTCAAAGTTTTTGGTTGTCTCCATAGGTGCAGTCATTTAGAGTTTCCACATCAAAAACGCTGGCCGGTAACCTTTTGCATTTCCTATCGTACCGAGCATCGTTTAGTTAATTCAGAGCTGTTGGATTGTGTCGCATTCTTCGTCTTGCCCACCAGAATGATGGTGTACTATTAACTATCTCGACTGTCTTGGAATCTAGTGTTTAGTGATGAAGCCCGTATTACCTACACTTTAGTAGCTAACGTGTAGCATTACAGTTGTTCACCTGTTTCTAAGACCCGTCTACATGTCTCGTACTGTTCTTCCTTTCAAGGATCAGTGGCATCTGCCAGTATTCCACGAGCAGCTGAGAATGACTGAACCAACCAAAGTGAGTAAAACGTCCACCACTTTTACTTTTTCGTCGCCGTCACCTTGAGTGTGACCATTTTCCCACACCCCGTAGACACCGATGCGCATGCACGCGATGTATGGTTAGTGTATTGTAGGTGTTTCACTGTTTCTCCAACTGCTTATCAGAAGGACAGTTGGGTCCTAATCGCTGTCCAGAATGGAGGACTACTCCTGACGGACTGAGTAGCTTTGCAGTTCAGTAGCAAATATCTAACCAAAAGTTTTGGGTTATGTCATCTGCTAGAACGGGAGCTAAGCATGGAAGCTCGGGATGGTTCATTAGCTAATTCGCGAAGTTGTTGGCCGGAAGAGCCGTGGTTCGAACCCGACCGCTACTTCTCGATTGCTCTTGTCTAGGCTTGAGCAACTTGGCAGTATCTTGGCCCTTCCTTCGGGTTGCGTGACAGCTAGGCACCGAAATGGTGTTGCATTTGAAGCACACATGCAATCCCAAACAAACGATCGTCAGTGGTATATCGTGGTATATCTTTACTAGGACCCTTTCATTTCATTGTTTCTTGTAGTGAACGAAAGAGCAGACGTTTGTGACTGGAAACCAAACGCTGATCTGCCATCTTCTGGTTGATTGTTGTGTCAGCCAAAGACAGTGACCGACATTTTACTTGTGCTCCCAACTATCACCTCATTTTGTTCGTGTCAGCACAGTGGTAATATGAAAAGTGGAAGGGGGTCAGATGATCCGCTCACAATTAATTGGGCAACTTTTCTTGTGTTTTCGTGTTTGGTGGTCCGTCTGATTAGCTGCTGATCAGCTGACCACACACGCAACGACGCTGTTGTCCCGGCTGTTGGTCGAAAACGTGACCACTCGTTTTAGTCAGATGATTCCTATACCTCGATTCAAGTGTTCCTGAGCCTGTGAAAATCCACTTGTTTTCTCTGTCCGCTCTCAGTTTGTTTTTGCCCTCTGGTTGCTACCGCCAATGAGCTCTGTTTTCAGACGTACCAGTTTGGTTTCTCTGTGATCTTATCGGGCGGATTTTCAGTGCAGTTAAGTTCACTTTGAGTACCATGAACCGTGTATGATAATTGGGTTGCTGTTTAGGAATAACAACGTGGATCACTGTGAGATCCTGCTTGAATTGGACCGTGGTCTTTTTTTGGGACACACGCAGTCAAACATCGATTCCTAACCGACCGCTTTGTTTCGCATTCGTATGTTGCCCAGACCGCTTCTGCCGATACACTTCATCCATCACCGAATCTTGCAGTCAGTGATTATCATTGTGGCTCGGAATGGGAAGCGAGCTTAATCACGGGCACAAACCAGAATATGGTCTGACTCCATACACATTTTACAATAGGAGCGATGGTCTTGATCACAAGACCACCATCTTTAGCCAGTTGCTATGTTAGCAGACTGAGTACGTGTGTGGTCACGGCCAGGAAGACATCAGGCAACGTGATGTCTGCTTATGTGCTCAAAGTTTATGCTTGCGACAAACAGTTCTTGACCAGCGCGCAGTTTTAAGTTGCGATCACCATTGTCACTTCCGGGAGCGTCTATTCCAAATCATCCACCAGGATGGCTCATGATCGTCGATGCTTCGTAACTAAGTCTTCCAAATGCCAGCTAGAATAATGGTATCGAAACGTTCCGCCATTTGCACAAGTTGAAATGTCTCCTTAAAAGACTCATTTGCAGTGTTATTGTTACGCTTTGTTGTGGCATATGCACAAGTAAGAATTAGAGTTCGGTTCCGGATCGTTGATTGCGGATTCCGGCAGACTCTGCCAGTGTGACTGCATACAGTCGGCTGTTTATGGGAATTCAGTCAAGGAGAGCGTCTTCATTCTTCGTGGTGAACACATAAGGTGAATGATTGCGAGCACAGGGTGCCACTGTGTTACGCGACAGTAGGAGTGTAAACCTTGAGCAAGCTGAGATTTCCTCGACCGTTTTCACACTAATTACCTTAGTAAGGTCAGGTTTGCGTATTTCAGAGATAACACACATCGATTTACCAATAGGAAAAGTGAACGAGGAAGGTCTGTTGACCTTATCAAAGAATATGTATGAAGCATTTTTTCCGTTTTCTGAGTGGAGGGCTACGAATGGACGATAAAGCTCTAGGGTAGGAAGTGAGGATACCATATTGGTAAGGGTAAAAATTGAATTTGGAGTAAAAATGGAGTAGGTATCGTATGGACAGAGGTAGCTTCCCGTTGGTGCAGACTTCGGAATGGGGTTCGGTCGTTGCATCCCTGCTTGAGCCTGTTACTCAACTAAATGGCAATGGAAGAAGGTAAGTCTTTGAATTTAGACCCTCCATATAGTCCTCAACTAGTGGGGCAGTCAGTGCTGGCCCGGAAACAGTGACCCACCACTCCTACCTACTTGATTTTGGATGCTCATTTAGGGCGAGCGCTCAGGGGGCAAGGCATTTCTGACCCCAGATGCCAATGTGCACACAAGGTAGCCTTGTGCTGCCAGGGGCCATCGATTTTGTCCTCTTTTTTCGACGCACTGAACAATATTACAACACCCGTGGTCATCTGGCGTCGGTCTGAGTGTGAGACTATTTGGGCCGACATTTTTAGCTCGCCCTTCCTCAGAAGAAAGAAGCTGGGGTCTTTGATATCATGGATACGGAAATGCTGTTCACCTGGGATTAACGTCTCACATCCTTCAATTACCTGTCTCCTAGTCCACTATTGGCCTGATCGCCTTTTATTCCGATTATTGGAAGCAACAAAGCAACGGGCCACTACTTCAGGATGGCAACGATTGATCGGTTCACATTGCTATACCTAACACCAAACGGTAGCCAATCTGATTTGTGCGTATACGTATATGATGAGGTGAAAATACACTACGTGTCTCTTCATTAGTAATCGTATTACTGTAAATTTTGACGTACTTTTAACTGAACAAAAAACTGTAAAATCTCCATGTTTTTCCCTAATTACCTTAGAGCTCCCATATCCGACCATCACTTCCTCCTGAATGGCTGTCCCCTTTGGATTCTGACGCGTCCGAACCCAGTTCTCACCTTTCATCGGCACTAGGCCATCAGCAGATGACGTATGATTCCGTATCACGCGAACCTGCTTGGGTGGACAACAAGGGGGACATGGTTTCAAACAAGTCCATGGAGATGTCATGCAGGAACGCTGACGGCATGTATTCTGTTCGATCTCCACGGTTCTCCGTGGACTCGGATGTCGTCACCAAGTTAGTTGAGGTATGAAACCCTGTCCCGTCCCAGGCGTATGTCGAAAAGATGCGCAAATTCCAAAGTACTCTTGGAGTAGTTCGGTTATGTCTACAGTTCTAGCTCCAGTTTTCGACTTTTCCCTGTAAATGATTACGCCGTAGAACGTCCTTTCACGAACAAACCCTTCATGGTTTCTTCACAATAAGGACGATTTTCTTAGTCGCACTTGTGAGTCTTTCCTCGCTTACTTTCCACATCCCATCTAGAGTCTGTCCCAGCTGCAAGCCGAAAATATGCAGCTAAACGTTCATCCGGAATGCACTGAACACTGCACTCCTTCAAGTCAATCGTGATGGCTCCAAACCCTGTGAAAAACGGCAGTTTTCACTTACTATGTCTTGTCACCTTTGGTTTTCAAGTAAGTTATGAGAACCGTGCGTGCGAATTTCAATGTTATCGTGTCCAGTCTAAATCAGGGCGTGGTAGGTCATCTCTCTACTTTGAATTTATGACACTGAATGATACGAGATACCAGATACGAGTTACCAAATTTATTCTGGTTACTTCAATAGAAACACTGGCATCCAAGTTGCCTCTTATCGCTGTGTATCTAGTAGAAGAGCAACGGTCTTCGCAACTTCGTCAGCTGCACGATCAACTGGAGCATTTGGATACACTTGATTGTCCTAGCCGAATAATGCACTGGGTCGGGTAGTTTTACTGAAGTTTATGGTGCACCAAGTTGCACACACACACATGGCCTTGATGTATGTCACCAGCCACATATTGATTTGAAATTCTACGCTTCCATGTGACTTCTTCTCCTGTACCGCTACAGAAAAACTTGTGCTTTTTCACTCCACCAGTGGAATGAGTTACCGAAGAGATTGTTATTGCAAGAGCGCTGTAACTAAGTAAGAGTTGCGAACTTGGATTGCAGGATGCCAGTGCCGATGGTAGCAAAGGTATTTGTTCCATAGTCTCTAGCCACTGACTGACGTCTCCTTTTCTTCACCATAAGGCTTTCAAGTAAACCATGTTTGTCCGGCAACAAAGCATCAGTGATGTTATGTTGTCGATGGTGATGAATCGGCGTGTGATTGTTCAGCGATTTCTGTACGTGTCCGTCCTAGTTAGAATGCGCCCGATAGGTCTCGTCATCAGAACATGTATCAGCAGATTGATGCGGAGGGAACGGACCCACCATGCATTATTCCACTCTCAGCTAGATGACACCCTGAAATCGAGTGGCCATACTGATCTTGAGCGTTTCGCAAGGAGCTGGTAGAATCCCTTTCGACAGAGTTAAAAAAAAGTGATAGGGCAAAAGGGCTAACGCGCTTCAGAAAAGAAAGGTGCTATTCCGCTTGTCGATTTAGTGAAATAATTTAACTTCACAAAGGAAACTACTCATAAGGTTGCTGAAAACTCTTCGAAGAACAAAGATGTAATACGATGGAAATTCCTACATCTGCGTGTGAAATCAATTCAACCCGGCCACTCTGTCCACTTACAGTCCCCATATAAACAAAGTAGCATTTATTGTATGCGACACTCCAAAACCATTTCAGGTGTTTTTATGAGTGACCTACTAGCTAGACAAGCTTGTCAGAGGGCGTCAGGCCGGTGGGCAACAGCCTGAAACGCTGAGCAAAGGATACCCCAACCCCACTGGTAAACAACCAACCTGCGTCTAGGCTCTTAACACAAACACGGAACAATTTTTAGGCTAATGCCTTGACAATTACCAGATTCTCCGATGTGAGTCACGGCTATTCATATAAAAATGGCCTAACTATTCACCGGTAGTTGTGGACTGTTTGAATAGGTCGACAGTTTTCATGAAGGAAACTACTCACAAGGTCGCTGAAAACTCTTCGACAGCAACCTTGTGAGTACTTTCCTTTATGAAAATATACTGCAACGTCTCGAATATCGTGCTAACTGAAACGTGAGGCGGCCTGTGTGCAGCATATTCAGTTGTAGAATATCATAAACGAGGGATTCATTTGAAAACCAAATTGATTTGCAAATGAGTGTATTTCTCGAAATAGTTCAACATTTTAAGCACCTGTTGTGATGACATTCGAAGCCTTGATAACACTCCCAAAGCTTAGTTCTCTTAGGCTCACCTCCCAAATAGTAGATCATGTCCCAGTCACGAAAAAACCTCCAACGTAACCGTGTGCTGTTGCTTAAGTGACAATTCATCTCAGTCTAAAGGATTTTGACGACGCTGAATGTTGGTTTTCTCCTCGTATATGTGGCCTAGTTTTGGACAAACTTAATCCCATTGTTTATTCTGCGAATGTCCAAGTAGTAGCGAACGCATAGTAGCGTACTGGTGAATTCGACAGGTTTAACTGTGACGAAAGCTCACCACCTTGTCATTGTGATACAAGGCTTAATTCAACATCATGATGTTTTTGAATGGCAGGGACGTCCAAGAGTGATGCTTTCGAAAACTGCTTGCTCAACGTGTATCACTTGTAAACCTGGTATGCTCGTTATCTAGTCTATTTTGGTTTTTTTTCGGTAATGGGTTTAGTAGTCCACCAGAAAGCAATGCGATCGTTCTCCACTCTTCTAAACACATTAAAATAATAATAATTCGAGCATGGCGCACTAATCATCTTTTTTGGAAGAAGATATTCCAAGGGTACAATTGAAAGAAGAAAGAAGAAGAGAAAGATGTAATTTACGGAATTGGCACAACACGTCGGTCACACTTACACAGAAAGAGAAAGAAAGAAAGCGTTCAGCTGTAGCACCCTTTCGTTGCCTAGCTGCCATGCCACCCGAAGGAAGCACGAGGGCTAGGATACTGCCAGGTTGCCCAAGCCTAGACAGGGGAAGTCGAGTGGCGGAGGTCGGATTCGAACCACGAACCTTCCGGTCAGTAAATTCTCGCCCCGATTGACTCGTCTAGTTTGCTAAAGTATTTGGAAAATTATTGTATATGGTATCCTCGTTTGGATATGATCGTACATCGAAAAGATTGGTTAAGCGGTGCCTGTTGATAAGAGAACCATTAATGGAAACATTACGTTTTTTAGGACTATCCACGAAAATATAGGAGCAACCCAGTGTATATATAACTGCATGAACAACAGGACATAGGACAGGTCACAAGAGTGTCCAATTCGGAATGCAAGCTTATGTATGTGCTAGGGACATATGGTTCGGATTCCTGGGGTTGTTAGTCCAAATTCCACACCGATACCGCTTTACCGCCCGCATTTGGGCGTTGCTACGACCAAGAAGCCCGTCCCGCACGCGATTGGCCAGAAGATCGGGCCACTTGTCGGTCTTGCATCACGTCGAGCTTTGATTGGCCGAAGATGTATACCCAACAGCCATTCGAGTATCCGCCGCTTGCCAGTGCAGCATCGAGGGTGGCGTCGGATTTGCCAGCATGTTGTTGCTGCATACACGTAATGTACAACGCGCTGCACAAGTGATTTTGACCTGGTTTTGGGACATGATATAGGCTATGCTCCCTTGGTGGTTGTTTTAATGGGAATGCTAGCTTGGAAGTTTCAGACCGAGAACTAAGCTGAGGAAAAACCGTCAATGTAGGAGTTGGCGATTTCAGGACTATCCGAAATCAACAACGGCACTGTTCTTGCCTAGGTGGAGACATTCGATTTTCTGGCCGTATTTGGAACTTTTACAGAAATGTAAGCCATTCATTTCTCGAATAATGCACCACTAACAAACCCTCAAGAGTGCGAGCTGGCCGGTGCTTAGAGCGCGAATCGATTGACCGGAAGTCCTTGGTTGTAACCCAACCTCTATCTTGACTGCTTTCTCGTCTAGGCTTGGGAGCCCTGCACCACTAACAAACCTTCAAGAGTGCGAGCTGGCCGGTTCTTAGAGCGCGAATCGATTGACCGTAAGTCCTTGGTTGTAACCCAACCTCTGTCTTGACTGCTTTCTCGTCTAGGCTTGGGAGCCCTGTAGTATCTCAGCCCTCGGGCTTCCTTCTAATGGCATGGCAGTTAGGTACCGAAAGGGTGTTACAGCCGAATGATCGAACTCTCACTTATACACAGAGTGACCAGCTGGACGTTTGTTTGTTGTGGGAACGTCTTAGTTTGATTTGGTTCGTTTCGCTCGTTGTGTACATAGATATGTTCCGTTGGGTTGTTTAAGGCCACCCTAAAGGTTTTGCTGTATCGAACGCTTTTCTCCATCGCCCCATTGGTGAAGAACTAACATTTTTATCTCCTCTTTGTTGTTCCGATGTCTACAAAACTGCATCTTGTTTGAAATTTGGTAGTGAAGCACTAGCGTTTGACACGTGGGTTGCTGTCAGTGACGATAATGAAAATCACGATAACTGCATGTGAGCATCTGTGACATATTTGACGAAGTAGGGTCAGTTGTATGCTTCACGCACACCTATTCAGTCTTGTGCTCCAGTACGCACTACCGCCTACCTGACTTTCGAATTTGCCCCCAGCGGTTGATTTCGACTGAGGATTATTGGCTCAGAACCGCAAATTGTCCCACCGGGAGTAAGGTTTACGGACACGTATGAGATATGTTCTTTTGTAGAGATATTAGTATTCCCGATCCCGTAATAAGGGAATCACCTTCCCAAGCTTTTAGGATAAAATCCATCTCGTTCCATCATAATCTCATGTGCGGCCACTAATATATTGATTTGAACAGAGATAACATTTGAAAGGTTTACTCACATTCTTAAAAAATCGTTCAGCTGTAGTACCTTTCAGCGCCCAACTGCCATTCCACCCATAGGAGGCACGAGGGCTGGGATACTGTCATGTTGCCCAAGCCTAGACAGGGGAAGTCGGGAGACAGAGGTCGGATTCGAACCGCAATTTACCTTGTGGTAGTAAATTTGCGCTCTAACCACTTGGGCCATCTCACATTCTTACTTAGCTAGCTAAAGATACATGGTCCGGCGATTTCAGCGGGTAACTGACGATCTTATTCCGAATTACGACCGCGTTATTGGCTACATAAGCGTCACGTTTGTCAAGATGTGAAGTATTAACTTCTTGTTACTGTTATTGGTATCAAGTACGTACTTAAGGCTCCGCTGCAGCCATAAAGAAACACGTATTCATAATTACAATTGCCGCTCATTTTGCTCCAGTTTTTCATTTACCCGGGATCCAAACTGACTTCTCACCCACCTAAACACGGAGAGCGTATGCAGCGGAAGAATCGAAACATACCAGTGGCCTCGTGGGTCATTCACATGTGTGCATAGTAGCAGATAATGTCTCATCCCAGCTGCCTCCACCTACCACAGGGCTCTAAATTTCTTACACGTACACAAATCTTAACACGATGACACAGTCTTCAACGAACATCGCACTCCAAACGATGACCCAATTCGATGAGTCGCTTGACTAAATCTCAATCTGATTTCAAGAACTATTTGAAAGGACTTGGCTACAGTAACCTGAAGCACTGTAGTTATTCGCTTGCGATGCTCATGGTTTATGGATTTATTTCCATGCATGAAGATTTGGTTCCCCATCTTCACTGCAGCTGAGTGTTTTCTTTATGCCCCCCCTGCCTGTAGTACCCAGGTACTGGAAATGCATGCAACACTCAGTTTGGCCACCCTACATTTAGCCCCCAAATTTGGGAATTTAGCTATCGGAGCCTTAATCTGTTATATAACTGACTGTCTGAATGAGGCAGCGAGGCAGGTGACTGTGGTAATCGGTTCTAGTGCGCTTACTAAGCATCGGTCTGAGCTTCTTGGTGGATGATGTAACAATCTGACTTGCAGGCTTTTAATGATTTATTACCATATTATCATGATGCACACATCGTCGTACGATACTTAAATTCTTGAGGCAGTCGATCTGCTGTTTGCTTGTAACTGCACATTCGGTTTTCACATCAGGGTTCTGTGTGTCTACCGTATAAGTGCAATTAAATTGGCATTAAACAGGCACCATAAAGTTTGTCTGGTGATGGAATTCCTAGCGGGCATGGAATGATTCTTTTCAAACCGAGAAATCTACCATCTTATTCGCAACATAGTAGCTTTCCTTAATAGCATCCTGAGTATATCACTTGATAATGCGGCTACGACACCGTGCTTTCAATGGTATCCGTGGCTCATAGGCGTAGTCAGGTTGATGAAAATTCCAACAGTACTAAACTGAGTAACAGCCTCAACCTAAAGGAGGATTACATTTCAAGGTGATCGATACATCCTTTCGATTCGTCAAACGTGGGTATAGTGTACCGAGGGTTCGTGGCTTTCATTTCGGAGCAATTTCTAAATTCACTCACCAACGATGTTCTACCAAGGTGCTATGTACCTTTCCAAGTTTGAACGCAGAATCAGCTGGTTGTAAGTGGATACTATTTTACCACCATCATGGTTTTCACGATGTGACATCTATTGATCTGCTGTTCAGACATGCATTCACCTGTCCCTTTATGAAATGTGCCCCTGACCCATGATCAAGTTCGGTGACAATGTAGCGTTTTTGCTGAAATCGCTCGTCAAGTACAATGACAACGATTCGGTGCGTCCCTGGTGGACTTAAGTGACATCGTACCACTGTGCTCTCTCCGTGTTTCAGAGATGAGTGCAAACAATAGCACTTTTTGAATTCATAAGCTACGACTCAGTGGTAATTGGGCAAAATATTCAATAGAAGTCAGCCGTTCGATTCTATGAATGAAATAGAGGAAGCGGAAACCAAGCATTCTAGGAGAAAACGTCCTGATCTTGTTTGCAAGACAACTTAGTAACACAAAAATTGGATGTTGTAGTAAACCCTACACAGAAGCTGGTGCTAGTTTAGACTCCGAAATTATCTTGCTGCAGGGCTGCCGATTTGACGTCCCCTGTTGTAATAGGTGGATATATAAAATCACTGTTGCTGTTCCGTTCGTAGCATTGCGACAGAATTTTCACACTTTATTCAATATGAGCCAGCGACAGCGTTCCTCTGCCTTCACTACTTTAGGGTCATTGACCATGCCTCTTATGATGCATAATTTGCAATAGGGAACAAGGTTTTTGCGGCAAATTCGATCATTTTAGTTGATAGATTAGTGGTTTAAATCACCCGACCTTCCGTCCGTAGTTTTTATATATTGCACTACCTACTAATGAGTAAGCAGTTTTTTCCGGGCGTCTGATAGTTAAATCTCATGCTCATTGTGGTTACGTTTATCGACGTTCGGTCGGACGGGAATTGATTAACCTAAACTCAGTAAACCAGCATTCCGTATAGTTCAGATTACTAATTAGTGAGTCGAACGTCCGTAACCTGTGTCAGTTGCAAGATTATTCCACAAGATTATTCTACATTGTTCGCCTCATACTACTGGTCAAAACCGCCCTAATTAGTACGTTCCTTGCTTTTGAGTTGTCGCAGTTTATATTAATTACTCAACTGCTATACGCGATCAATCGGAACTACGGAGACTTTTGATGCTTTATCAGACAGTTCAAGTGTTTCATACCACTGCTTGACGGTTCCCTACTTTGCTGACCCGCGAGATATTTACTTAGAACGTTATGAGCTGTGCGCTGCTAAGGATGAAACAGTTCTAAACTGCTTCCGCGGCTGTTTATTACGGACGGGATTCACTTACGGGACGAAATTTGCCTTGTAATTCCAAAAGCTCGCTCTACCATCTGTTCTGCTCAGCTAAGATCCTCAAATCCAGTCCTCTTCCTTTTTAGGTTCAAATTAACTACGTTACGTCACGTCAAATCTTCTCGCCAACTTCCAACCACTGGGGGTTCTTAACATTCATCGACCCATGCGTCCTCTCTAACATATACTTCACTTTCGCTTCGGCGTCTTTTGAATGGAATGGTTCGTTTTACTTCGGCTGGTATTTGATACTTTCCTCATACAACCGCGGATGTTTCATCTGGTTGCAGAATGTGGCAAAAATAATTTTAGAACTCGGTATAAAATAATAAAAACTAGAAGAGTGAAAACGATTCTAACCCAAAGCTGTCACTTTGACGTGGTCGTCGGGTTTGATCCCTCGGGCTGCATTGGCTGGAGCTCAGTTCCACGAAGTGCAATCATGTCGGGAAGACCAAATGGGAGCCGTCCTCCAAGCCGCGGTGTGACCCCGTACTACGCGTAATTGTGTTACAAGTTCGTCTGTGGGTAAATTTGTTGTCTACACTGGGACAAGAGTGTGAAGGCAATAAGATTTTGCCGCAGGCGACAAATATGTCCATATTCATGAGAACAGCTATGCTGCTTTCCTCCGAGATAGGGTAGGTTAGAAATGGTCCTCCCAACGGTTGACCGTGACCACCGGTGCACTATTCACTGCGGTCGGAATGCTTTTAAAACCAGAGTCCGGTGCTGCTCGAAAGGTACCTGCATCAGGCCACATCAGGGTCGAGACGGTAGTGCCTTATTCCTTGCACCCCCGGGTTAGATTATCTTCCTATATCCGAGCAAGTCAGACTATTGGAATTTCGGCTCCGGGTAGGGTCCACAAAGAAAACCTTTTTGTTTTTCGGGTCAGATTTTCGACTCTCGGACTAGGGCAGCCATCCTAGAAGAAAACCTACATCCTTCCGATGCCTTGTGTTTCAGAGTTTTGAGTCATGGGCTCAAAATAAACCCTTTTCCTGGGACTGGAAAACCGTAGAGCATCGTTTGTCCACACAGTTCTTTGTCCACGGATGTCCCTCTTCAATCCATTCCTACAACACAAGCAGGCGTTATGCGGTCGATTGCTTGTCCATTACCTGACTAGTGCACCGTATCTAACGCATTGCCCATTAAGAATAACGAAAATAACATTTTGCTTAATTTTCAACCAGAAAGTTCTAGCCCAGACTTTATAATCCTTTAACATTGTCGTATGGTGTGTCTCTGGAACTGACATCTCGAAACGTGATGGAAGTTGACATTTCACTCTCCCTGAGTCCGGTCATCCAGAAGCGATGACTCGACAAATGTATAGTGTGAGAGGTACCATCAGCCACAGTGCTGAACGCGTTTCGCTCGATTGGATTCCATTGAACAGTCATCGGTGAGCTGTTTCGTTATACAGCTCAATCACGGTCAGTGCTGCGCGACATAGAAAACGGCACCTGTTGGTTGTATCGTAACATACCCCAACGGACTGCAGTTGTGACGCTCTGAAGGTTACTTTCTATCGTCAATCAAGAACCACTGAGATTGTGATACTTGCGGGTGATATGAATTCCCAAATCGGCCGTCCGAAGTCCTTAGAATCACATCTTGGTGGCCGATTTGGAGTCGATGCTCGTCGCACAGACTACGGAGAGCGACTCCTCCAGTTGTGTGCTGATCATTAACTGTTTCTGACCGCCATGAATATCCAACATAGACGCTCTCATTGGGTAACCTGGAGACCTCCAAGTGTGAATCAACCTTGGATCCGGTTGAATTACCTGACCGTCAGCCAGTGGTGGAGAGCCATCATTCGGACTACTGGGGATCACGCTATGGTATGAACACGCCTGACAGTTCACTTTTATTCAGGCCTTCACAAATCAGCAAAAAACCTTTCAATCCACTGTCTTCAACGAACCACCATGGCTCAAGAGTACGATCTAAGTTACCTCAGTTGGTCCCAACAGTAGAATGTACGGTACGAAATACTAGAATGTGCGAAGTCATCAGGACCGCACAGTCTGAATCCACCTCTTTAAGGAAGGGGTATAACCCTGGTCACTAAACTGATGAAACTTACTGACTCTATATAGCGTTAAGAGGAAATGGCTGCGGAATGGGGTATATCGACAGTCTTCAAAAAGGGTACGCCGACGCTGTGTGAAAACTACCGTGGCATCAGCCTGGCAGCTGTGGCATCAAAGGTCCTCTCTGGTCTCATCCCTCGACGGTTGACTGAGCACCGGGAGAGTCAGACCCGCGAAGAGCAAGCTGGGCTCCATCCTGCAATAGGATGCATCGATCACATCTACATCCTCCGACAAATTCTGGAACATCTGCACTGCTTCCAGCAACTAACAGCATGTGGGTTCCTTGTCTCGAAAGCTGATTTTGATTCTGTGGACGTCAGACACTATATCAGTGCGACCCTACGTACACAGCCGTTCACCACCTCCCGCGACCGTGTGAAGGTCAGTGGCAAGCTCTCGCCTGAGTTCACCACATCAAGTGGAGTCATGCAAGGCTGTTGTGACGTCGAAGTTCTCCTGGGGTTTCCGCTCACAGCTATCGAGTACTCAGACAGCATAGCTGTTATTGGATCTGACGCCGTGGTAATGCAAACAATATTAGATAATCTAAATAATTCCGCTTCGTGGTTTGGCATGCGCTTCATACCTGCAAAGTGTAAAGTGCTACTGCAAGACTGGGTTGGCTTGAACCCTAGCCTCATGCTTGCGGATGAACCGATTGAGGTAGTAAAGAAGTGTGTCTACCTGGGCATCTGTATTAGTCCCGATAGTCTCGCGAAAGATGATATTTCCATCCGGATTGTGAAAGCCAGTGCAACTTTTGTGAACCTTCTTCACCTGTGGTGTAGGCATGATATCAGCTTATCCGTGAAGGGTCGATTTTATGATGCTGCGGTGCGCTTCATACTACTATACAGATAAGAAAGCTGGCCATATCGCGCTGAAGAAGTCAAAAACTTCCAGTGTTTGTCGATGACAATCCTCGGAGCACTACCCGAGTCTGGTGAAAACACCGGGTCAGCAGTGCTGAAATATGTCGAATGGTATTCGGAAGAGATAACTCGCCTACTACAAATGGACTGATCACACTGCATAGGTTGCGCTGGCTTGGCCGCATGCTCCGTATACCATTCGACCGGCTTATCGAAGGGTTCTTTTGGCACCACCACGTGAAGAGTGGGAACTTGCCGGAGGAGGTCAGACATGGACTTGCCGGTGAGGTTTGTGGGCCATCGCCAGCAAACCCAGCTGTGGTCGTCGTTGCCGTCTCCCTTAAAATAGCCCCCGGAGTGGGACGCATCAATGTTTAAAGATATTGTCGTACCTGTTCCAGTCACCTCCTCAATGACGCTCATGCATCCGAGCTGTTTTCTTCAATGCATGGCTTCCCGCGAGATTTTGGTGATGAAAAATACTCTGACGCCACTCTGTTTGCACGTTAGTTATATCAGCTACTGCCTTCAAAACTGATGATGGTGACGGGGATCTTCAGCTGTAAGATCCTTTCGATGTGCTCGGATTCGAGCAAACCAAATTTTGTGTGAAGTACTGAAGCACCCTGTGGAATGAACTTGCAATTTTTGCTGCGAGCGTTTCGCGCGAATTTAGAAGCGATGAAAAAGTTGCGCCCCAGACGTGAGTTGAAATGAACTCGCAACCAATATTGCGTGAGTCGGATCTTGTGAACCTGTGGCTTCCATTTTCCTCTTGAGACACAGAGCTTTTCAATACTGGAGGAATTCTTCATCGGTTAATAATTAGCGCACCAGCTTCCCTCTTTAATGACTGGTCATGTCCGGTGTGATCAAACGCCGAGCGTACCATTATCGTGCAGATTGCCGTTATTGTGAACCTAGTTATATGAGCCTCTAATAAAATTCAGGTTAATGATCCAAACTTACTAAGCACACAACACGCTAACGGTATTCTGATGATCTGTCTCTCATTAAAGGTAGTTAGACTGAACTACCTATTGACTAGAATTCTGAAACAGTGTGGGATATCGTGAAAATTTGGTATCTCAAGTTGTATCTCAGCTTACCGTGTCTTGGGCCTGTTGGTCCGATTGCGCAGTAGCATGTGTATAGGGTCACCCTCAGCACTCTATGGATGCTTTGTTTCTAGAAGCTCTCTCGTTGCTTCCAGTTGACAGTATCTTGATGGGTTTTTGATTGCGTATCTTCCCCTTTCGCTCCCCTTGTATTAAAATCGAGATTTGCGTGACTCCTCGTCCATATGGACTTTAGTACCCCGGTATCCAACAAAATATTCATGGTGATCTGTGTCGTTGCTTGGATATAGAACACTATCCAGTGGTTCGACGAATACACATATTTGCAAATCATACTGGTTCTGACGGGAGGTAACTGAATCTCTCGTATATGATTTTCTCCAATTGAATGTGTTGCACAAGGACCATCTCATGTTTCGGTTGGTACGATATTCGAGATATCGCAGTATATTTTCATTAAGAAAACTACTCACAAGGTTGTCGAAGACTATTCTGTAGAAAACATTCACTGGAAACATCCTCAAACGAGAGATTCAGCTGGGTTCCAGATGAGTCTCTCGCAAAACCAGATTAGTTTGCAAATGAGTATGTTTCACTATTCGGTGTTCTATTCTCAACTTTGTCCCCTGTCCTTCTAATAATTCCCCCATAGTAGCAGATGGTTTTGGGGCTGCAAGGATTCCTAACTGTGACACGTTTGATGGCACGCTTTTGATGTTCCTCCGTTTTCGTGTGTGCCTCAGCAATCTTGAACGTAATTGGAATGAAACCGTTTTAGTTCATCTGGTGGTTATTGCGATCATCTGATATCTGAATTGCTTGTTTGTCATTTCCTGGTTCATACAAGCCTGAGGTCTCCCCTTCCCCCAGTCATAACAACTATTTGACCCAAAGATAGTGATTGCTTGTAATGTACTACTCATAAGGTTGCTGAAAATCCATCGACAGCCCACGACCGGTTTCGCCCTTCTTGGGGCTCATCAGGTAGGCGCAGTCCCCGGGTTTCCGTCAACCTTATGTTCTACTTGAAACCAAATTGCACGAAATTCGCGAATATACACTCATCTGCAAACTAATTTGGTTCTTTCGAGAGACTCACCTGGAATCAGTTGCCTGAGAACATCATAAACGAGAGATTCAGCTGGGTTCCAGGTGAAGTCTCTCGAAGAACCAAATTAGTTTGCAGATGAGTGTAAAGTCGCTAATAGTGATTGCTTGTTTTCTGCATCTGGTGTCTCCAAATGGATTACCAAGCTTAGATTGTCTTTGAGTAATGAAACATATACGCATACTTACTGGAGTAGGAAGCCGGATAATTGGGCATTTATTTATTGACGCACGCACTCCATCTGTTCCATGTGATCGTAACTAGACTCATCCACAATCGCCCGTTCCCTATGCGCAATTTTGAGGAACCATTGCTTTGAGAGTGGAAGCAAGCATATTCCTGGTCGAGGTGGCTCAAGTGGTTAGAGCGCGAATTGACTGACCGGAAGGTCCGTGGTTCGAACCCGACCTCTGCCATTCGACTTCCCCTGTCTATGTTTGGGCGACCTGGCAGTATCCCAGCCCTCGTGCCTCCTTCGGGTGGCATGGCAGCTAGGCACCGAAAGGGTGCTACAGCTGAACGATTATTATTATTATTATTAAATGTCATACGAAGTGAAGCATGAGGTGGCCTTTGTGCAGCATATTCAGTTAAACATTACCGTAAACGAGCGAATCAGCCAACTTTCCCGTTAAAACCAAACCTATAGTGTGCTTTTGAAGCAGGTGGAAATTCGGGCGAATTCGACTTTACAAATCATGACAAATGTTACCAAATTCGGAGTAAGATACAAGGTTCAAGTAGGACATAAGGTTGACGGAAACTCGGGGACTGCGCCTACCTGGTGAGCCCCAAGAAGGGCGAAACCGGTCGGGGGCTGTCGATGAGTTTTCAGCAACCTTCTGAGTAGTTCCCTTTATGAAACTACAAGGAAGAAGTTGCGGAAAGCAGTGCCGGTGGATGAAAGATGAAAGGCATTGCTGTACGAGCTGTGTCACGCTAAGGATGTCAACAACGGCCAGATAATACGTGCCCATATTAACCAGTCGACTACGACCCGCTTCGAAACTGGCCAGTTGAATCTGTGGTGAAATAGTTGGACGGTTCATTTTCTCTTATCTGTTATATTTTCTCATCTCATTTTTCACCCCGTTTTCTTTTCTTTTCCAGTGAATATCAGTGCCGCACAGCTGATCAAGCGAAAGTGCCTTTTTCGGTTCACTTTTACAATTTTCATCGACAAAACCAGTACAAGGTGTACACATACCTGGTCGCTTTCATTGTGTCCACTACATTCAATTTCGGTCGGAGTTTCCCCCCCACTTTGTTGCATATCTGTCCGTCTGGTGCAACTACGTTTTTCCTCCTCGTCCAGTGTTTCACTTTCTTTCTACTTTGTTCTCATTCCGGAATTCGATTTCCTCTGTAATAAACACTTTATTTTTCTCTTACTTTTTTCGGAGGCTGACACGGATGCAAAGCTAAAGCCGATTTACAAATATTCCGCTCTCCTTTGAAATTAATATGGCTGTTGTCAAGGCTGCAGTTATTTTGTCTATTCTATACCGTTTTTTAATGTTTTCTGCAGAGTTGTTTACTAGACTAACTTTTCAAAGTGTTACAACACTTGTTATTTTACGACGATACATTATAACTGTATCAATCAAGGCTTTCTTTTCTCATGTCGAATTAGATGTCTACGCTTGAGACCCTGGGAAGAGTTTAATGGGGATTCCATGCATCAGGTCGATGGCGGCATCCCTGCCTTGTTGGAAGAGTAGGAGCGAAGCTCTATGGTTAAGACTATTCGCGAAGAGAAAGTGCCTGCAGAATGGGGCATGTCGACAGTTATCCCTGTCTTCAAAAAGGGTACGCGGGCGGCGTGAGAAAAACACACTATGGCAGCCTGGTAGCTGTGGTGTCGAATGTCCTCTGTGGTCTTATCCCTCGACGTTTGACTGAGCACTGGGAGAGACAGACCCGCGAAGACCAAGCTGGGCTCCATCGTGCAGTAGGATACATCGATCACATCTTCACCCTCCAACAAAATCTGCAACAGCGACACTGCTTCCGTCAACCAGCAATGTTTGTGTTCCTCGTCTCGAAAGCTGTCTCGTCAGGTACTCTGGCAGTGTCTGTGGAGCAAAGATGCCCCCACCCATAAATTCTTCACCCTTATTAAGGTGCTGTACGCCAACTCCTGTGGCCGTGTGAAGGTCTATGGGAAGTTATCGACTGAATTCGCCACATCCAGGGGTGTCAGATAGGATTGTCCTTCACCATTACTTTTCAACTTCTTCATTGCTACGTTTATGGAAAGCTCACTACCAGCCTCTAATGCCTATGGGTCGAAATTCTCCCGGGCCGTCCGCTCACAGGCCTCGAGTGCGCAGACGACACAGGTCTTATTGGGTCTGACGCCGTGATAATGCGAACAATATCAAATAATCTAAATAGTTCTGCCTCACGGTTTGGTATACCCTTCATACCTGCAAAGTGTAAAGTGCTACGGCAAGACCAGGTGGGCTTGAATCCTAGCCTCATGCTTGCGGATGAACAGATTGAGGTAGTAGACAATTTGGTCTACCTGGGCATCTGTATTAATCCCGATGGTCTTGCGCAAGATGAGTTTTCCATCCGCATTGGTAAGGCCGGATCAGCTTCTGTGAACCTGCGTCGGTTGTGGCTTAGGTGTGACATCAGCTTATCCGTCAAGCATCGAGTTTACAGTGCTGTGGTGCGATCCATGTTGCTATACGGGGACGTAAAGACTTTCAGTGTTTGAAGATCATTATCTTCGGAGCATTGCCCGAGTCTGTCGGATACAGACAGACATACGGATCAGCACTGCTGAAATACGTCGGGTGGTATTTGCAAGAAATAAATCGCCCACGATCAATGGACTGATCACACTCTAAATATTGCATCGGCTTGACCACGTGCTGCGTATGCCAGTCAACTGAATTTCTCGAAGAGTTCTTCTTGCGAAACCACACGGAGGGTGGAAAAGGCTAGTGGCGGTCAAACGAAGACTTGGCAGCGATGTGTGAAAGCCATTACCAGTAAACTTATCTGCTCTGGTCATTGCCGTTTCCCTGTATGGGGACCCCGAGACGGGCCGCGTGAATAATCAGATATGGCGTTGTCGTGTCCTGAATGGCGCTGGTGCATCCACTGTATTGCCGTCAATGCACAGCTCCCTTCCCAATCCCCCACCTAACCGTCTACCGACAACCCTGTATTTACGCACCAATTCATCAGCTCCCGTCTCCAATGAGCAGGTCCCTTCCCTACCTCCATAAGTCGTCGGTGGGCGAAAGTATGTCAGCCATAACCACTGTACGACAAGTACGCGGTTGCTGCTACTGATACTGATGATGATGATGATAAAAGTAATTACGTTTAACTACAGAATCAGCTCTTACTGCTCTGCTATACTGGAAGTTCTCTTTAGTTGCCTTCTGCTATTGCGTGGGTGTGTTTGGTTGGGGTTTCCTGCAGAGTCCCCAACAAATTTTCGGATCTGTCCGTGAAGGCAGCCCACCCAAAACACCACCGAACTAGTAGTAACATTAATCGACAACAGAAACTGGCATGGGATTCCGTTGCTCAGCTACTGTGCAGACATCTTTATTTTTAGACGGGAGATTGCATAGATCAATGTGGATATAAACGTCCAAGACGACCGCATGTCTTGACGTTCTTACCGCCTTTTAGCATGGAAAGTGGTGCAATACCCCTGCCTCCAAATCCTTGAATGGACTTGGTTTCGTCAAGTGTATATTCTAGGTGATCTGTCCGCTAACGCTTATTAGAGCTTGTCATAGTTGACGTAAAAACAGGGACCGTGTCGAGCACTGTCATTATTTTTTGGGGGAACAGCATTCTCATGGTGCCATTTCGCGTCCACATGGAACAATCCCTCGGGGATTCTGTTTCCAGCAAATAATTCCTTGCCAAGATGCTCAGAAAATCTAGTCATACCTAGCAGCACGACTCACCGGGAACAAGAACAGATTTCGAGCATTTTCGCTTTCGACTTCAGTTTCTCGTACGTGCCAGACTGCTTGATCAGCATGCACTTGCTTTCTTGTGGCATCTGATCATCCGCCGAGTCGAAACATGGTTTCAACAAAAACAATTTATCCCTCCGTAATCAATTTTGTTCAACGATCTACTTTTGGTTGCAATTTTGGGGTTTTGCGGGGTCGGTATTTCGTTCGTAGTCACACCACTCTCGTTTTAACGGCTGTCCTGTTCTGGCGTAATTATTCTGGTGAGTCCACACCAAAGGGAAGCACTGGATTCCTGTTTCGCTGTTATTAGAGCTCATCAGCAGTGCATATCCAACGTCCGTGCTGGGATCTGAACCCCGGGGATCTGACATGCGAGGCGAGCGTATAACCACTACACCACCAACGCACGTTGGACGCATCTGAATTTTCACGTCTCAACAGGCGAACGTGTTCACACTTGAGCGATATTATTGGTGTGCCGGACACAATCTCAAACGGAAGACAGATTGTCCCTCTCTTTGCCGCGGAGATGAATTTGAGTGGATTAAATATCCTACTAGGACGTGCTGTTCCGTATACAACTTTTGACTCAGACTAATTGCAACTTATCCATGTCACCATAAGCGGACAATCATGTAGGGTCAGCAGTTTTCCTACCTGACGGGTAATCCTTGACAGTCGAGGTAATCGGCTGACAACCGGGACAGTTACTGGGTGTTCGTTCGGGCCATTGGGCAAGCTAATTTCATCACCCAACAGGGAACATGTTCGCCTCTTCAGAAATGAAGGATCAAATGCATGCAGTGTGTGTAGGTGAATTAGTGGTAACTCGCTAGCCACTTCGCTCACAATTCAATTCGCCTTCAACATCTATCACCGCATACAGTTTAGATGAGTTGACCGTTGCTTTCTACTTGATACGAACCAATGGTATTAAGGAAGTTTCACTGCTCATCACTAATAGACCTTGAACTGCACTCGAAATGTTCACATGTTTTCGACTGGCATCCATGGATCGCCTCTGTTCGCGATGCGAATAAAAACGTTATTTTCTCTGAATCATTGTCGTTGACAACGATGCCTGTGTGAGAACACCGGTGGTTATCTGACGAGATAAAAAAACAAAGGGAGAAGAGCTTTATACCGAGGTGCATGCACGCGCAAACATTCATTCAGACAATTTGACTAGAAAATGACGGCAAGCGAATCATGGTTGTCGATGATAGACGAAGGGCACATTTGTTCCCACTGAAATAAGCAGCAAATGTGCTGCCGCGAAAATTGTCCAACCCGAAGGTTGGTGAAGAATTCCGTGGCCACTCCTTCCGAATATCCAAGGCAATCTGTCCCGGTATGTCTTTGTGGGAAACTCATAACTGAATGATGATAACCTCGAATTCGAGGTCAATCAGTTTGCATCTGAACGCTAAGGATGCCCAACAAATGCTTTGAGGTTCTGTGTGGCTGGAACACGATAGAGGCCTTTTTATCTATCAGAATATACATATGCAACGCAGTTTCGCTGTGGACAGAGGCTCCTAACTACCGTCAGATTGAAAAAAATGGCACTTGTGTGAAAGGTTGTGACGCACACAGCTCAAATGGCTTGTTTTAATATTGTCTTGATATGAAACAGAAGAAGGAAGCCACCTAGGAAAAGGCAGTACCATTTCTGCGGATGGTGAACGTCGTCCACTGTAAGGGGGTGGGTTTCTGGGAGGATCACTGTAATTTCATATGTAATCACTTGTTGGTCTCACTGGAAAGAGATTGCCGCACCCATTTGTCAGACTTCTCTGTAATTATTTGGATAGTTGCTGTCCGTTGACCGTCCATACCTATTTACAGAAGTAAACTCTGGAAAACGTGTTGCGCATTGTTTAAAAAATTCGGTTTTCCAGTAATGTGCGAGCTGAAAGTGAAAACCCCCAGTAAATGTTAACTTGGGGCAATTCGTGACAAGCGCGCCAAACAGTGAAATGTGCTGTTTTTCACGCTTATTTCAAACTGCCATGAGTAGTGTCTCACACCCGCGCAGCAACCTTACACGTATAAAATCGGAGTTGGCCATAAATTCGGGGAACTGCTGCAATAAGTGACGAGTATTGAAAATTTGACTGACCTGGACTCCACGATTGTTCAGCATGGAATCGAGTGGTCTTAATGTCGTTTCGCACGCACAAAGTCATTAATCCTACAATCACCAAAAATCCATTCTCAATGGTCTCCCAGACAAAATACCGCAGGATGGGCGAGCTACCGGATGGTAACCCAATTCTTGGGTTCCCACCAATCTGACGGTGAGAAGTCGAACCTACGTATGGCAGGTACTAAAACTTCTAGAAAGTCAGCATAATCACTCTTTTCAGAAACACTGTTTTGCACACTTAGGGGATCTTAACCTGACTCAAGGCGATAAACCAGGACCAAACATGGCACTGCGTCTGTCAGTGATGCTTTCACCTGTAAAGTTTCTGGAGCTCTGACGCTAAGTTGCGCCACAGCTAGCTAAGCTGCGTCTCCAAACATCTTGTTCTAGCATGACCAGGCAAGCTTCGATACCATTATCCGCAGGGCAGCCTGATTGAGGGATCAGTGTGTGTGTGTGTGTGCGAGTGGCCACTTCACAAACAGTAGCTACATTGGTTTGTGGGCCCATTGCTAATAAATGTGAAGGAAAACCGACAGACTGCATGCGTCAGTCAATGCTTGCATCACCCACTATACCGTCATATTCTTTCCCTTTAGGTGCCCTTCCAGAGGCTCCTTTTATCCAGGTTTGCAACCAATGGGTTGCGTGAGCGGCTACTGAGTCATCCTGATGGTATCTGCCGATCCAAACTAGTCAAACCCATTGTTCGGCATCTATTGTGCGTTGTGAAGAACGATGGGTATTCCCGTGGTACTTGCTGCTATTATCAAGGGCATGCTCTTCCGGATCTGTCTTCATATACACGCAGTTTGACGCACGATGTGAATAGCAATAATCCAGAGGATTGGCATCCAATTTATCGACTCAAAACGATGCCATATATCCAGGTAAGTGGTTGGCTCCCCTCACTTTTTCATGTTCTTAGCATGCCAAAGAATAGTGGCAGTTTCCGTTTTGCTATGCACTTTTAACTATGATCCTGTTGTGCGGTCGTGGTGTTGTACCCCAAAAAGTCCCTATTGGACTCACCAGATTGGTACAGATGGATTTATCACGTGAACATTTGGTTTTCAGTTCCAGATTGTTTCCCATAGAATCGCGTAGCCTCCGATCGACTTGCACAGATGAGGCCTAACAAACTGCCCATCTCGAGAAATACATTCATTTGCAAATCATTTTGATTTTCACGAGAGACTCAACTGAATCTCTCGTCAACTGAATGTGCTGCACACAGGCCGCCTCACAGTTCAGTTGGCACGATATTCAATATATCGCAGTATATTTTCATTAAGGAAACTACTCACAAGTTTGCTGTCGAAGAGTTCCCAGCAAAGTTGGCTGTCGAAGAGTTTTCAGCAGCCTTGTGAGTAGTTTCCTTCATGAAAACTGTCGACCTATTCAAACAGTCCACAACTACCGGTGAATAGTCAGGCCATTTTCATATGAACAGCCGTGACTCACATCGGAGAATCTGGTAATTGTCAAGGCATTAGCCTAAAAATTGTTCCGTGTTTGTGTTAAGAGCCTGGACGCAGGTTGGTTGTTTACCAGTGGGGTTGGGGTATCCTTTGCTCAGCGTTTCAGGCTGTTGCCCACCGGCCTGACGCCCTCTGACAAGCTTGTCTAGCTAGTAGGTCACTCATAAAAACACTTGAAATGGTTTTGGAGTGTCGCATACAATAAATGCTACTTTGTTTATATGGGGACTGTAAATGGACAGAGTGGCCGGGTTGAATTGATTTCACACGCAGATGTAGGAATTTCCATCGTGTTACTAATGATAGAATTTAGTGAGTATATTTATTACCCGAACTTCTGTCACCAAGCGAACTGTGTAGTAAGCTTGCAATGTGTCGTAGTACCGGTGAGTTCTATATACTGCGAGGCGATGAAGTCAGCAAAATTACCCGTCATCAGGAATACAATAGTAGTTATCTATACAGCTTCAGTTACCAACATTCCTCATTGACAAAATATAGCTTACTCATGTGGATATTTTCGGCAGGTCCCACTTCACTGGGATAATTTGAAACACAAAACGAGCACGTAAACGAACAAGCCTAACTCAAGCTTCGTGCATCACGGCCTTGTGATTTTTTGCTGTTCGTACTACACCTGTAGGGTTCGCAGTAATAACCAGACAAGCGGATTTATGAAAGGTAGCCTATTACACCGAGACAACCTATTGACAGACACGACCAGTCGTTGTGTTTTCCAAACTACAAATGACAACAACACTAAGGCAGTGGATCTTAAATTCAAGGATTAGATGTTGGTCTGCACTCAAATTAGGGTTTTTTATGCCTTTTCCGGCTTTTTTGAAGCAGAATAAGTTGGGCATGCGACTCGACAAGTTGGCAAGTGAATACGGAAACACCTCATTCTGAAATGTCAGTAGATCCAGTGGTCCAAAGTTCGATCGTGTCACGTGTCCTTGAGATTGACACGCCGTCAGTCTAAGCAACTCGTCTCGAGTCATGCGCAGAGTGCCTCGTAGGTTGCGGATGTCAATCCAAAGACAGCTACAGCTGAAGCAGGCGCAATACGACCACATGATCCGGAACTATGCCGCCAAAAACTATTCTTTCGAAATTAGCGAAACACACTCATTTGGGCTTACCTGATGAGCCCCAAGCAGAGCGAAACCGGTCGTGTGCTTTTGAGAAATTTCCAGCAACCTCATGACTAGTGCATTACCTATATGCTGTCGCAAGTAAGGGTTACTAGTGATCTGATAAACAGTGATTATAACATAGTATTATTATCGGCCAAGATGAGTCATTCAATGATTACATACAGTTTTTTGCATGCGACACTAGTTTAGTTTGCCAAATGACTACTACTACTAATACTACTAATACTACTAATACTAACTGTCAAAACGTTGTGCGCTACTCTCAGATGAGGCAATAGGATTTTTGGGCTCGAGAAAGTTGTGTCAGACGCCAATTTATCGACCGGATCTGTTGGTCGTTGGGTACCCGTGTGACAGCATTAGCGTGTTCAGTAATTACTATAAACGAAGCAACTTGTTAATCTATGAAGAGTGAATTTGGCGCAATGCTTTGACAGTTTCATATTAACTGTCAAAACGTTTTTGTGCGCTACTCTCAGATGAGGCAATAGGATTTTTGGGCTCGAGAAAGTTGTGTCAGACGCAAATTTATCGACCGGATCTGTTGGTCGTTGGGTACCCGTGTGACAGCATTAGCGTGTTCATCATCTAATCGTCATCTAATCACGCGTCACCGAATCGATCGAAAGTGGAAATCGGTAGGTCGGATTGTTTGACCACAAGTCCCAAGCGTTTTGAGACGGTTTCCAAACGCCACGTGATGACGCAACTGAAATCCAGACAACTAGGTTTTTGTTTACGTGTTTTCTGAATTGGTGTATTCCAGCACAGCGCCTCAGCTCCTGATCCGTCCAGGCGAAAGTTTTGTTGAGGACCTAGTCTGTCGAAGAATCCACTCACAGTTCTGTCGGCGCAACAGGCTGTAGCCTCCGGAATGACCGATAGCGTTGTTTTATCAGAATTACACTCAGATGTGGAAATCTCTGAAATATTTGACAGAGCTGTCGTCGTATTGTTTGAAAAAAAGTATGAAGAACAGCTAGAACAAAGTAATGCTTCACGCCTCACTCTGGCGCGTTGTGTGATCAGGGTGGAGTGATCATTAATGCGAGTGATGTCTCAATGAACATACGGTGGCCGGTGAAGAAAATGTTTAAGTACAATCAATGTATTTAAAAACATGGTAACTTAATATTGTTTGCCACATGCTGATCTTAATCAGTAGACCCTTCTAGAGTAAACTGTTCATTCACGCCTCGCCTTACATACCCCACGTATCCTAAACTCCCTAGTTTTTATTTTTTTTTGTGAATACCAGGCCGCCTCACGTCTCAAGTTTTTGCTAACAACTGTGTTGTTGGTCGGCACTCCACCCATCATCTTTGCTGCTCAGTACAGCTATGTATCCAGTGGATTCACCTACTTTTTCGTCGGTTCAACAATCTTCTCACTGTGCACTTTGGCCGCATTCAGCTACTATTCCACAAAGCTCATTGGAGTGGTAAGTCCGATGCGTCTCTTTTCAATTCTCTTTGTCGTCTAATTTTACACGGCTATGCTTCCTACTTCCGGTGCGACGACCGCGATTCTGAAGTACACGTAGCCGCTTTTCTTCAGATTGTCTATCCATCGAACTTTTCCTGGTTATCGATGCCTTTCGTAGTTTTTCGATCAACTAGGGCCGCATTCGCACTGTAAGATGTTTTGCGTACAGCTCAACAGCTACTTAACCTCGCCCGTTCCTTCAGTTTTCCTTCGGTTTTTCTACTACGTCATGGGCTCAAATCAAGTTCAAAGATCAAACGCCCACAAAGTGTCCTTAGCAATGCAACCAAGTAACGTGATTGCACTAATTCAACTCTATTGTACTTCATAATGCTGCTCAACATGGTCCTTTCAAAATGGTAGTGGAAAAATGCTTTATCCTATGCTCCATGAAACACTGCCCAATTTGTGTTGAAATCTCGAGGTGAGGGAACAATGGACGACGTCATTCATGCTTTCTTAACCAACTACCGGACGACACCAAACCCAAGTGCGCCAATTGGGAAGTCTCCAGCCGAAGCTATGTTTGGGAGGAAAGTGAAAACATTGTTTGATGCATTGCGCCCCCGAAAAGCCAGATAAGCCAGCGATGAAAACCAACCAGGAAAATTCAACGGCAAATGTCGCTCTGGACGTATTTTTAACCGTGAAGACTCCGTCCTTGTCAGAGACTACTCAGCGAATAACTGGAGTTTGGGAGTTATACTGCGACGAAGAGAGAACGTCGTCTATGAAGTAGATGTTGGCGGAACGGTGTGGATTAGGCATGCTAATCAAATTCGACATTGCATACGACTCGATATAATACAAGAGAAAAAAAACGAATCTACCGTTAGACATCCTCCTCGAAACGTTCGAGACGCAACCGAAAAATAAGTCAACAGAATCTAACATTGACTTCAACCTATCTCCGTTGCAAAGGAGAACTGGACGACGAAGAATTCTAGTGAAGGCGGTTGCAGGTAAATCCCAGGTTGAGAACCTACGATCCATCTCCAAAAGGGGGAAGGGTCAGGACGCGCCCAGACATGAGAAAAAGCACATGTGCAGAGAGTGACGCATCCCCAAGGTCACCATCCGTACGGATAGCAGGTGCGTTGGCGGAGCTCACCAAACACGGCTTAGCAACATAAAACCAGTGGAGTGGGATGAAATTGTTCACGACCGGAACACCGCCATTGGCTGTACAGAACGAACAAGTGAACGACCATATACTTACACAGAAGCTCTGTATGTTTTATCCTGACAATACAGCTGTGTCCCGAGTTCTCTGTCTTCTCCTTATCGCGTAGTCTGGCAGGCTCAGTGCAGGCGTAACAAAAAGACGGCCACCCACGATACAACACAATGAAAACGGTATTTCTGTTTTGAATGGACAACATTACTTTGGGTTGTGTGATACCATTAGGGATTAGCGATGGTCTCTTCTAATGATGGTTTAACTCAAGTTCCCGTACTCCATACGATTGTCTGACCACGTACAGTATAGGACTTCTCGTAGAGATTAGCAATCTGCAACGGTCCAACAGACAACCCCATTGGTTGAGCGTTTTTAAGGAGAGAATGCTCCGGATGAATGTAATGTACAATGTGGAGCTCTACCAGCTTCCACTGGTCAGGTTTCGCGCAATAAACCGCATGAGAGCCAAAAGTCTGATGCAGGAATACTTCTGCAATTGTATGTCACTTGTCGATGGCAGACCGGTGTTCATATGGCAGGCCTGCTACCTACCGTTTGTATCTGAAGTAGAGCTACCCTACTCAAAGGTAGCTGCTTGGTCTAAATGCATGTATCTGGTCCATTTGCACATCACAGGCGGCGAGAAACTGTTGTTCGCTTTACGATACTCATCTTATCTGACTTTTGTCTTCGACAATACCTCCATTATCACTATTGACAACAACACTAGGGTAAAACGCTGGTGCTCCACTGCTGTATAACCATAACACGAAGAATGCGGTGCATTTTTTGGCATGGGGGTGCATTCATTCGATCATTTTTTTTACCACATCCACGCCCTGATTCATAGCTAAAAATCTGTCTTCACCCATACCTTTTACTTACCATACTTTTACTGAGTCTTCGATGTAACTGTTTTTATCCGTTTCTACGTCCCAATTCAGATCAGTATTCACAAACACACCGGCCTTATTCGTATCGGTCACTTGACCTTTTGGGGAAGACGGAACAACACTCTGGTTCATTTGGACAATCTTATCCCGGCAACTGACTACGCAGACACTCCGGAACGTAGCCAGACCGTACGGGTCGGGATTTTGGCGGACAACGACTTAACGGGACCTCAAAAGATAGGCCGAACATTTTTCCTTACACGTCTGCGTGGTGAGATTGTAGATCGTACACAATTCTCACAAATATTTGGTTTCCTGTGGGAATGATCCGTAGGTCGGTCCTATGGGTAACCTACTATGTATAAACAATAGTTCATTCACTGTTGTTCTTTTCATTGGAATGTGCGGTAGGCCTGTTTCCAAATCTCTCCCCGATTCGGAATGAACATTCCGGAGAATCGAAGCGATTGGCGTTAGCCAGCTGGATGACGCAGTGACATCAGATCTCACCCACAAGGCTTCCCTTTGAGGCTAGTACGTTAGTAGGTCTGCTAACGTTCCATACAGCTTTTACTTATCCTATTCACTATGATTTGATCCGCACACGTTTGCCCCTACAAAACGTCGTTTCTGGTTTGACGGCGTGGTAATGCATGACAGTATTAGGCTATCCACCCATCTGTCATGACCGAGGTAGACGTTTTCCTGTTTGCAGTGGAGGCGGTGAGTACTCTATATGTACGGAGGTGGATTGTGAACTTTCGCATCCTTTATGTAGCATCTAGCGCTAGACAGGTTTTTAATGTTGCTTCCCTTTGGCGTTCCTGTACAATTAACCCGTCATTTGTTATTAGTTATCGCTTGCGGGACGAGAAGGCCTCTTTAACAATGGGAACGTTGAGTCCATTCTCTTGTCAGTTTCCCAGTTTTGAGATACTCCTTCACGGAGTGAAGGGAAGGCCAGCGACTTACAGACAAAAAGATGAAACTTGTACATGGTATCGTTCAGCTGTAGCACCCTTTCGGTACCTAGCTGCCGTGCCACACGGAGGCACGAGGGCTGGGGTACTGCCAAGTCGCCCAAGTCTAGACAGGTGAAGTCGAGAGGCCGAGGTCGGGTTCGAACCACGGACCTTCCGGTCAGTAAATTCGCGCTCTAACCACTTAGCTCAACTTGCCCCATGGTATGGTACATGGTATTCCAGGGTTTGGTTGTCGTGATGGCTGAAAAAGCCTTAGGACATTGGCTTAATTGCCATCATTGCACTTAAACGCCTTCGCACTTCTCCAAACTACGAAGACCGCTAGTTTACAAACGTACTTTTTGGTCGGAATCTGTAACTGCCACTGTACTTGACAGCTGGTGCGAATACCGTAGGAAGTCATCGCTGATAACACGCATGCAAACTTCCGTGATTTCACCGACTTTATCCGGGTCTCCCTGATGGATATTCTTCATAAACGATCCGCGCTAATCCGAACCTAAATACATGCTACAGCCGACCGAAACGCAATCGCGATAAGCAACCATAACCTTCTAATGTCGGACCATCTATTGAGTAAGCTCCTAGATGTTCGAATTACACAGAGCGCCAGTTCAGAGGACCTAATTGCTGTGACCAGAGCCTAGCTATCTCGAAGGCCTTACTGCGAGTGAAATTTCGCTCTCCGAGATGCTGTCGTAGGTAGATGTCGACAATCACCTTTCACTGGAACGAATTCAGCCCACTCTACCAGGAAACAATAGATCGTAAGCAGCACTGGAAAGCGAAGAGCTAAATGAGGCTGTTTGGCTGTTTGTTAGTATGGAAGGGAAATCCAGCTATCAACGGAGAGTTTCAGATCGGTTTTGTAAGAAATGCGCGAGTTGTTGTCTTGCTGAACGGTAGTGCAACTCTATCGGTTCCTTCGCTTCCTGCTCCACCCACTATAGTGTATTAAAAGGCACGGTGGCTTCAAACAGCTCTTCACGGAGACAGGAAGATTATTGCAACTGTATTTATAGGGTACCTACAGAATGTTCCACAAGGTCGTGCTATTATTTCAGTATCGGGGCGAGAAGCGTCGGGCTCAAGATGCTCGATCCAGATTGGCTGGCATTCTGACCACTCAGGTCATGACTTCGTTTGGTCCGTAGCCTGCACGTGACACATCCACCCAGATGATGCGATGTTCGGTTATTAGGGACGGCTGGCTTCCGGACAGAAACCAACGGACCGTATCGACTGCAGGCTGTAGCTACACTAAATGGACAGACACTGAGAGCAGATGTAAAGTAGCATTACAATTAGTTGGTTCAGACTTCAAAGTTCCCTTAAAGCTGCATCAAGCGCAGCATTCCCAAGCAATTGCCACCTGAGAGACAGGAAAAGCTATCTGAAGTGTCCCCTTGATTTGCGTTCCAGTACTGTGAAAGCACTGGCAAAAAACTTGACCGAGCCTGTAGGTTACTTCATTCAGCGCGGTCTGGCAGGAAATTCTGTTTCCTCATAGTTGTCCGGTAACAAAAACTTGACCCTGTAGGTTACTTCATTCAGCGCGGTCTGGCAGGAAATTCTGTTTCCTCATAGTTGTCCGGTAACATAGCAGATCCAACCAACCATCTGTAGCTTCTTGCCAGTCATATACAAAGGCCAACAAAACGATGGATTGTCTCCAACAAACACCATCTTCGAAGTAACTCTCCCGCACATTCGACCTGCCAGCAACTAGGAGTTACTGGACCGAAATGGTACATGCTAAATCAGGAGCAAATTCCATTTACCTGAATGTGTTGAAGGCGTTCGATCATGTGGACCATCGTATTTTCCCACCAGAACCTCTGATATATGTGGGTAGTTGGCAGTATGGATTAGAAACTTCCTATCCTTGAAGGTCTGGAGTCGGCAAACTGTCGCAGTCAACTAAAGTGAGATACGCCGTGCCACAAGGGTCAGTCTTCATCCATTGCCAACATATATTAGCACCATGCTTTGCATATTCGTCTCGAAACAACATTTGCTGACGACGCCGAACTCTGAAAAGCCATGGATTCTCCGGAGGACAGTCGCCTTCGAATAAGGATGACTGTATTTGACCACTAGGTGTCATATTCAGCATGCGAAATTCATACCCCTCCTTGGGTAGTCAGGTTTTAAAATTCAGTTCCCATGCCCACTGCTTAATTATATTCCCACACGGCAGATCTTAATCTGTTTAATTCAGTGCTTAGCATCTCCAGCTGTGGGCAACCGCCATCTTGATCTTCTTTTCCCAGCGCTTTACACATTCGAGCCAATGATTTTCCATGAGTTTCTAACAGCATTTATCCGTCTCCCAAGCCAGTATCCAAGTTCTGCAACATTAGTTGAAAGGAGATTAACGAACGGCCCACCAAGGGTGAGCGGCTAAGCCAGTAAGAATTTCATAGGGACCAGACCTACCCGGAATAATCGCTGGAAAACTCGAGCGACTCCGAGGTGCCCTGTTACTTTTAAAGCCACATCATGTTAGAGCTTTCACATAGCATTCATCTCCGAGCCACTTAATGAACCCAGACAACCAATCCAGTTAATAGGGTTGTCGAAAGAGCAAGCTATGGACATTATGCTGCCCAACATTTTGTAGTCTTATCTCATTCGTCGTTCTAAGAAGCAACCTGATCCTCATTTTCAACACCTATGTCAACGCAGGATGTGAAACACCAGCAACATCAATAGTCGAACGCTGCATCTTTCACTATCCGTCTTTATACACTGCTGTGACAATCCTGTGCAAACTCCTTAGCGCACACTTCTGTTGTTTTTACTACTGAAATTACCCACTGAACAATCGTGTGGGAAATATTTTCTGCTGAAAAAGTAAGTGAAAGATGATACCTTTTTGCAAAAACCTCTAATTGGAACAACCCCGTCTTTGATCAGAACCGATAAAATATAGCTGAATGTTGGATAGGATCTAAACGGCATGTTTGTGGCATGCGGTCACCCAAAATCCGCATGTACCCTAGCCAACATTGGGACCGGTAGCATGACATGGCTCACAGGGAACTCAACTCAGTGCATCACTGTGGGGATTGTGAACCACCTGGGTCAGCGAATGCTGAAGGCTCCGTGCGGCTCATTGTGATAGCCACTGTCTTCGCTTTTCGTTGTCAGATCATGTCGCCTACATACCACTAAGGGTATGCTATAGTCAGCGAAGTAACATGATTCTAACTCATGGAAGTTTAACCGTAGGATCGAGCCTGTCGTATGTACACGTATGCAGCACTTTCGCTGGACAGCGTGCACATTCGGTTGAGGCCGAAATCACTCTTGGAAACGTTCTCTTAAGATCCATACGGCTTGTTTCTTACTTCTGTAGCCTTTCTCAGTATAGTTGGAGTATACACCAACTGATATAGAGAGGAATTCATTCGGGGGTTGCTATACTATTTTGTCAGGGATGAAACTGGATATTGCCAGTGTAAAGAGCGAGTGCGGTGCTGATTGCAAGTAAAACAAGACATTCACGAAATGAGCGGACAAAGAATGTAGAACGCCCTTAGAGCACGCCATGGCTCTGCCGGTTGGTTGACCTTTGCTGTTCACTCGTCTAGTTCTCCGCTGATTTATGTTACCGGTTCGTTGTTGGGCATGCAGCTTGACCAGAGGGATTTCTGAAAAATCCTAAACCTGTCTATAATGTTACGTTTGCTAGAACTAGATACGAGTATTACTCTGATATCCTCTAGTATGGTTGTGTTTACGGTGCGTTGTGGGCTTGATGAAATCCAAACTCTTCAAAGAGAACGGCTATAATGTCACTAGGAACGATGTCCCACGACCGTGGAGTACTATTCCCATACTATACCATCAGCAAAAGCCTTGAGATCGGTCATACTTTTTACTGGCGATTCAAAATTACAGCGGAGCCCCGTTCCTGAACCTTTCAGCCGTTCAACGGTACCTTCTACTTAGGTTTTCCGAGTTTCTTGTCATACGTACTTGACTTAATTTGGCCAAATCGTGTTCGAAAGGCCCACGGTCTAACGTGTAGACAAGTGGTGATAAGACCTGACTTGGTCCATGTTATCAAACAAAATCATCACTAGTGTGGGGTACATTGAAAAAGCGTGTGTACATTTACGGATCTAAGATATCGTCTGTAAATAGAGCGGAATCTCGGACTCAAGGAGGAAATTTGGGGCGGAAATGCTACTGAAGTTGTCATCAAGGACTTCTCGTTTAGCAACGTACTCCAATTTACGAACATAGTTTGCGCGGACCCCAAATTGGTTTTTAGCTTAAGGAGACCGTAATGTGCAGTTGAAACGGGTGGGAGCCTATTTTTTTCGTTTTGCTGGGTGCCCATTACCCGTCATCCTTGACACCGTTTAGAAATATAGAAAACATTCGTCAACTATTCGAATCAGATACGCGAATATTAAAGATTGATCTTTCCCCCATGCGTCTATGCACAGAAACAGTGGAATGAAAGGATCCATGATCAGTTACATCCACTTAGTCATGATAGACCAATAGGAGTTCAAGGTGGTAGTGACAGCACGCCTTTATGGAACTGCACATCGTGTTACCTTCGTCGCTGACGGTCTGGAACACTAAAGTACAGACCATGGGACAATTATTGGGATTATGACAGAGTTATGCATGAGCACTGATGGAGAAAGCTGGTTTGAACGTCTCGAACCAATCATAATCAGTCTTCAATATATTTTATGTTGATCATCTTCCCCTAGTCATTTGTTTCTTGTATCAAGAATTCACGGTTCTCTGATACAGGTGTACTGAAGCATTAGAAACCACGAAGACAAAGAAAACAAGTGCGAGTAAAATGACTCAAGTAGTTCTCAACGACCCCAGCGTTGCTTGATGTTCCGGAAACGACAGAACAGAGCGCGAAATTCATGCGATTGGATATCCCAGTGTGAAGACACGTTCCTGAATTGTAGATGAATAAAACGGAAAAATGCAAAATTATGAAATATTGTGGTGAACTTGAAAGACGCCTGTCAATTTGCAAATGACGTCCTTATTCACAACTTGAGGATAGGCACAGCAGAGTTGCGACAATCACCCTCGCGACAGATAACATCTGTCAAAATATACATTTAAGCAGGTAACCGCAAGTGTACACGTTAATAGACGTCTGACGTTCGTTGATTTGAAACCATCTCTTAGTTCATCGTATGCTTGCCGCCTTATCACGCTGGACAATGCGCAAGTAGAGTATGCCAAAGAAGGATCATTATTCCGCGAACTGGAAATCACGAACCAGGATGCGGTGAAGCTTCTGGCCTTGCCACACACCACACGGATGAAGTGTGTCCTAATGTAACCATCTGCATCCTTGTGCGTAAAAGCCATGATGAATTGAGTTGACTGCCGCTAAGTACACTGGTCATTTAGATCTTCGCAGGTTCCAGTGGACGACTAACCATAAAACGCAACCCACGAGCCTTAAAACCGGGCATGGTAGCATTCGAGATAACTGCTATTTAATCAGAATGCTCGGAGCCAATCAACTTGATTCGGCCATGAAACTAGCCAGAGTAGTCCAGCGCGATACATTAACCAGTGGATCAATGAGCAGAGCGTTTATACATAAAACTGAGCTATTTCACATGGGACTGGCGGGATGTTTTGATATATGATCTTAAAGGAAAAAATATGGTTAGGCTGCACGACGAGAATATTGCAGCAACCTGGGTAAGACCGATCAACTGGCTTACATTGCGGACCGTACCGATGCACCCAATGGACTGTAGGGCCACAGAAATTACCCAGCGAAGCGTCCAGACAAAGAAAACGGGCAGGTATCAGCTCGAATCCTCGTAAAAACGGCTTACGTGTGCGTAGGGACGGTCAACATCCCATGAGCTTTTTTGGCGAAATGTATACTGAGCTAGCGCGGCGACAGCTCCCTCAACCAGAAAAAACATGGTGTTCGGGAAACAGACTACTATCTTGACATTACCCACAAAAGACCTCGACCCGTTCAGTGTCATCTCATTCAGCAGCTAGTGCACAAAAAAGACCTGAAAGTTATCGGATATTATTGGTGGTTTTGGTTGAACCCTAAGTTCTGAATTTCTACGAGTGATCGTTGCCAGCATTTGCATAAGGCTGCTAACCAATCAGTCTGGGTGAGAAGGCATGAATATGGTGATTTCTGCCAAATGGCGTGTACTGAGGGGTGCACTTAACACAGCAGTCATTGAGATGAAGAGGCTGATACATCCGTGGGAAAAATGGTCAGTGAAACGTCAAGGAACCGTACAAACCAAACAGTTACACATAGTCCACATTTAGTCTTATCTCCCTAATCATGGGATCATCTCAACAGGAAAACGGCCGACTATTTTCGCCTCCCGTCATCAAACGGAAAAACCAAGTGTGTACACCTACAGTGCTTCTAATAATTTGTCCAATCTACTCAACTGAATATTCTCACCCACAACAACGAAACAGGTTAATGTGAGAGGCTGTCGCAAGAACATCATCAAAGACAGCAACATCNTATGTATATTAAAAGCCCTACAGTGAAGAGAAGATAAAAAGAGCGGATGAGGGAGGGGACCTAGTGCTGGCCTATGTCAAGCATTTTGAGGTGCCTACACCTCTAAGCGCCCAATCAGACAATCTGGAAGGAAACTGACAGCAAGAATGCCATTGAAATCGATTAGCCGCCATTTCTTGCAACGTCTCCACCCAAGCACAGGCACACGAGTACCCCATCCTGGAAGCCGAACAACACCAAAAACACCCAAACTCTTCGTGATCTCTCTCATACCCTTCCTCCCAGACATGCGTTGTTCACCTCGCGATTTGCGCCATTCTGGAGGAGGCACGGAGAACGACACTCGTCTCCGTAGACGATGTTTCGGCATGCGTAGCACATGACCGAGCCATCGCAGTCGGTGACGCCGGATGTTGTCCCCGATTGAAGTACGTGCCGCACAACCAAATGCCCGTTTTCTAGTCACCTCGTTACTAACACGCTGACGCCATTACAAGAGCATAATTCCAACTAAACGGATTTCGTTTAATATCTGCATTAACCCGTAAACTGGAGTACTATCGATTTGGAAACGAAATAACCCTGAAAGCGCTGGGCGACACAGATCCCATTGTCATCAGGTGATTCACGTGTGTATGCAGAAAAGACAAACGTGTGCAGAGTGAGCTTGCTCGATACATTGAAACAGCTGAATAGAAGCACGAAAACACTTTTGAAAACACAGAATGCACGGGAGCGGTTTAACACAAACACGTATGGTACTATTCACCGCTAAGATATCGGATACGACAAGTGTAAACCATCAACCGTAACGCACTACAAAATAGAACATCGACTTACAAGAACTCTGAGAACCGACTTTGCCATGGGAATATGCCGGCTAAACAGGTATAAGTACCAAATTGGATCGTCAGCTCAACGTCTGGCAGTTTCGTGGTTTCTAAAAACGTAGTTGTCTACCACAAAGAAAGACCAACCATGCATAGCCTTATCCATTGTCCGGACGGATATACGATTTTGTGCTGAACAGATTGATTTCATAACATCACAAGTTGCAGTAACGCCCCATCGTATGCCATGTAAATGAACCAACAGCTGCGTACGCGTGGCTTCTGGACCAACCATGCATAGCCTTATCCATTGTCCGGACGGATATACGATTTTGTGCTGAACAGATTGATTTCATAACATCACAAGTTGCAGTAACGCCCCATCGTATGCCATGTAAAATGAACCAAAAGCTGCGTACGCGTGGCTTCTGTTGGTTGTAGTCTGTATGGAAACGAAAGGACTAACCATTGTCACTTTCAAAAGTATAACGGTACAATGAGCCAGAGAGCTTTTCGACGCCTGCCACATTCGTCAGTTTACTTAATCGGTCAACAAGCTCTGACTTGCGCGACAACACATTACCTGAATGGAATGAGGATACACAAACTATCAGTACCTTTATAGTCACATATGGAAACCACGGAAATTCCCAAATCTTTGGACCACAAGAGCATGTTAAACATAGCATTCAAAGAAATCGCATCTTCAAATATCACAAGAGAGATGTGACTGGGAATCCTCAAGTTCTGAGTTGCATCCATTTCTGTTCGTTTGAAGTGACTCGTGTTTGGCAGTCTTAATCCAAACCACAGACAGCGAGCCAGCTGAACAATCAAAAGCAACAGGTGATGGAATCGGAGAATTGACACCAGTAGCATACGGTAGAGAAAGCGCTGGATATCTGAACAGGACATTATGGTGGCTGAAGTAGAAGACAGTAGTTATTAAAGATCAGGGTTTCGCAAACCAGCAGAAAGTTATTCCGATAGAATCCAATCAAAAGGACATCAAACTTTCAGCTACACTCGTCAAACTGAAAGCCATCTGACAACGGAAATACCAGTCGGAAGCAACAACGCGCAAAAGACGGATCAATAAGAAAACCCAACACACTTGAAATACGAGACAGTGTTGTCGGTGATGACACGAAGAACGGGTGATGTTTTCAGAGGCCACTATTAGTAATTTACTTCAATTTCAATAGCATCAGGCTAAAACCACGTTTTAATCCAGTTTCGTTCCAACGCATGTGCTACTAGGCAAAAACTTTGATACCGACGAAAGCCGGAAAGGTACATGGAAAGATTACTAAGGTTACCACAACCAATGCTCAGCCAAGGCAACAGTAGAAGCTGTGTTGCACGTTCGGTCAGCCCTAAAAACTGCACATTCCAACTGTTGACCGTGACCCGTGGCACATGATTGAATACGTTCGAAATACTTTTAAAACCAGAGTCTCGTACTGCTTAAAAGGCACCTGATGTGCAAAGCTGCATTAGAAGTGAGACAGCAATGTGTTACTCCTTGAGCGCTCGGACCATGCCGGATTCCCGCAACTAAGTGGCAGTGTGCAGTACTCTGAAATTTTCATCTTCCTCGGACGTTGCAGAACACCTTACTAACACACTGAAGACAAAACTCAAAGATGTCTCCCAGTGGCCTTGGATGCTGTACCAAAACCAAGACAAGCCTCAAACTCCCACCTGATTCCACACCGACTTTCACACCGAAGCGTCCCACCCCGCTCTCGCAACTGTGGGGAATGAACTTTTTCGTTTCCATGAATCCGGAGTTATCCAGCCAGTAAACTATTCACAATGGGCAACTCTGATTGTTGTCATCAAAAAAGCAAATGACAAGGTGCGCGTGCGTGCTGATTATTCCACTGGATTAAACGCTGTGTTAGACTCTCACCAATATCCATTGCCGGTACCAGAAGATTTGCTCACCAACCTCAATGGTGGAAGATGTTTCGCAAAGCTGAATCTCGCTGAGGCTTACCTTCAAATAGAAGTCTCTGATGACTCCAAAGAATTGACAATCAACACACATCACGCTTTGTTTCAATTTAACCGTCTGCCATTTGGGGTAAAATCTGCACCAGCAATATTTCAACAAACAATGGATGTCATGCTAAACGGGTTATCAGGAGTTGCTACTTATTTGGGTGACATCATTCTTACAGGTTCTAGTCAAGAACTTTTGCACTGTGTACTCGAACGAGTTCAACAATATGGTTTTCGTCTACGTGCAGAAGAATGTGCATTTTTCTCACTTCTATCAAATATCTTGGATTTATTTTTGACATGGTCGTTACCCAAAGCCGAAAAATATTTCTGCCATACAAATGTCAGCACCGACGAATTTAGTAACATTGCGCTCCTTTCTCGGTTTAGTAAGCCATTACAGTTCATTTTTGCCAGACATGTATTGTGTCTGTGAACCACTAAATCATCTTTTAAAAAAGGATGTGCCTTGGGACTGGTCACATCAGTGCAAGTCCGCTGTTGACAAAGTAAAGTCACTTCTCAGATCTGACCTGCTACTCACACATTACAGTCCGGCCCTGGATATTGCTGTTCTCTTAGATGCATCTAACTATCGTATTGGAGCTGTCACCTCTCACGTTTTTCCCGACGGAAACGAAAAAGCAATCACCCACGCAGCTAGATCACTAACAATTACCGAGCGCAATTATGGTTAGATTGAAAAAGAGGCTTTGGCGATAATCTTTGTCATCAAGAAGTTCCACAAAATGCTCTATGGACGTCATTTTACGCTCACCATTGACCATTAGCCTCTTCTCGCCGTTTTCGGATCTAAGAAAAGCATCTGTTTAAACAGCCAACCGTTTGCAACGTTGGGCTACAACGTTTCTGGGCTACGACTTCTTCATCAAGTACTAGTCGGCTGATGCTGTTGGCCAAGCTGATGCATTATCAAGACTCATGGATTCTCAGCGTCAACAACCCGAGGATGCTGTTGTTGCCGCAATAAAGGTGGAACCAGAAGTTAACGCAGTGCTTGCTACTACAATCCGCGAACTTCCAGTTACTTCTACCATGGTTCGCGATCCCACCGCTCGTGATCCGTTACTTCAAAATGTACTCCATTTTCACCGTACATACCGGCCTGCAGTATGTTCCGATAAGGAACTTCAACTGTTCTACCAACGTCGATCCTCACCTTCCGAGATTGATGGTTGCACACTCTTCGCAGAACGAGTAATTGTGCCTCCGGAATTACAAAGTGATGTCCTTAAACAATTTCATTATGGACATTCCGGTATTAACCGCATGAAGGCGCTAACAGGTAGTTGTCTGGTAATTTGTTGTAAATATTGGTAGCTCGGGTGAGTTTGTTGGTTGCTTGCAAACGTTTCGTCACCATACGAGGAGACATCATCAGTGCGTATCAATTGTGTTGACGAAACGTTTGCAAGCCAAATGCCAAGCTCGGCGAACAGATCAACAGCCACCTGATCAACAACCAATAGGTAGTTGTCTACTGGCCGGGCATAGATAAGCAGTTAGAAGAGCTTGTATGCAAGTTCTCAAAATGCCAACTATCTGCAAAATCCCCTCGAAAAACATAATTATGTTCATGGCCTGTCACAGAAACTTCATGGTCACGACTTCATGTTGATTTTGAGGGACCAATCAGCGGCCAACAGTACCTCATCCTAGTAGATGCTTATAGCTAATGGCCAGAAGTGTTTAACATGAACCATATTACTGCTTGTGCTACCATTTCAAAACTATAACATGTGTTTAGCCAGTTTGGAGTTCCAAATATCATTGTTTCTGACGACGGCAGTGCACTTACTTCCGCTAAATTTTCCGATTTCTGTCAAGAAAATAGCATACAACACGTGCGATCACCGTTCCATCCATAATCAAATGGCCAAGTGGAAAGATTTGTGGGCACTTTCAAACGCGCACTCCTAAAACTCGAAAGGGAGGGGACCACACCGGAAATTATCGAGACATTTCTGCTGAGTTACAGAGTGACACCAAATGTTAACGCTCCACATGGTAGGTTCCCGGCGGAGGTACTTATGAACCGAAAGATCCACTTACCAGTTGACGTCATCCGTCCAACACCACATTTGCCAACCTAAATATGGAAGTTCAGTTCAGTTCATTCGACATCACGGTGATATAACATATTTATACCCGGCCAATCTGTGCTAGCGAAAGACCATCGTGGTGATGCGGAAAAGTGGACACAATGCATAATTGTGCTCCGTGATAGAAGAGCTGTCTATGAGGTGAATGTAGGCTTCCTATCTTCCAGCGACATATACACTCGACCCTGTTCTTCCACTGGAGATTCTTCTTAACACATTTGAGCTACCTCAAAAGCCAAAATCTCTAGAGCCGATGAATGAACCAACAATTTCCAAAAATTGCGCACCTAGAAGGTGGACCGATCGAATACGAAGGCATGTCATACCAATACAACTCAACCATCAGCAGCAGTCCTACGATTGAGCACTTCAAAAGGGAGGTGTCAGGAGGACTACCTCCAAACGAGCAAATCAATCCTACTAACGATTTACCTTGTATACTGAAACCACGTTTCTACATCTCAGCCTCTCACTGACATCCCATCGGACTCTAGCTGCTTTTATATTCTGGTTCCGTTGAATTTCCATAACACGGAACGACCCACTTGTTTCTAGTATAACTTCCTCGAAGTTGTTTGTCTTCTCCAGTTCGGTTACCTTGTGTATCTGACTAATATATTGTCAAACAGGATATAACAAGCAGGAAGCTAAGGACCGACACAAAGTTGCACTACCGTTCAGCAAGTCACAACAATGGCACAGCAAACCCAAGTAATTTTACAGCAGCAATTGAAGTATTTCGAAAAAGCTCAAACGAGGCTCGTTGAATCTGATGTGTAGTATGTCATTTTCCACAGATGTTGCCGCCAGCTCGATTAGTGAATTCAATTCTGACGCTGAATCTGGACGAACTTTCGAAATATGAGGACATGTTTCAAACCGATTTCACTCAGTTTGATGACGAATGGAAAGTTCGACTTTTGCTGCGGAATCTGGGGACAGCTGAACATGATCGGTTTACAAATTTTATACTCCCAAAACTCTCATGACCTTGGTTTCGCACATGCTGTCTAAATCTCGGCCCAAATTTTCGCCGAGCAAAGTTCATTGTTCAATATCTGTTATCAACATCTCAAGATTATCGAAAGGGATACTGAAGAGCTCATCACTTATGCAGGTGTGGTCAACAGGGAATGCGAGCACTTTCAGCTCAACACCGTATCAGAGGATTAATTCAGGTGTCTCGTTTTTGTGGCTGGTCTTCAGTCGATAATCGGCTCCGGCTACTGAATGGAATTGAAGAGGATCCAGATTTGACGGTTTAGGAACTTACCATCGAATACCAGCATCATATCAATCTCAAGGCTGATTCTGCGATGGTTGGACATTCCATATTCTCTCAGCCTGATATGGTATGCAAAGTAACTTCCAAAAGGCAATCAAATTCTAAACGAGGTTTAGGAATTACCATCGAATACCAGCATCATATCAATCTCAAGGCTGATTCTGCGATGGTTGGACATTCCATATTCTCTCAGCCTGATATGGTATGCAAAGTGACTTCCAAAAGGCAATCAAATTCTAAACGAACTCCAAGAGTCACCCACACCCTGCTGGTTACGTGAATGTCGTTATTCACGCACTACCAGAATCACAGGTGCAGTCACTGCCGTCGAAAAGGTCGCAAAGAATAATACTGCAGCGACAACTTCAAGGCTCACGCAAACACCGACCCGAAAAAGGACGCCGGCGGGGGCTAGGATGAAATCACCCAGTCGACGTAAATCCGGCACTGGCAGCCACCTCACTTCAGTCCATTTTGGTGAATCTTGCCAGAAGCCATCAATGTTTTACC